TTTTTTTTTTTTTTTTTTCCTTTTTCTCTTTTTCGTACTTCTTCCCTTCCCTTCTTTTCCCTTAATCGATTTCCACATTTTTTCCACCTCTTTCCCAATAGTTATACATGTGTACAAAGCCACAAAAGCCCAAATACACACACACACACGCAATGTATGTATGTATGTATGTATGTATGTATGTATTTATTTATTTTTTTTATCATTTTCCTCTCTCTCTCTTTCTCTCTCGCTTCTCTCCACTCTTTCTACGCCCACTTTCCCAGTATTGTCATAATGCCTGCGCCAATCCACAGTGCGGCGTACATTGCAAAAGTCTTCGATACACGATGTGGTGCTGTGGCCCCGGTGAAGGCCCGCAGGTCCGCCGGGAAGTCGCTGAGAAGTAACGTGAAGCCCAAGTACAGCATTATCCCACCGCAGACTGAGTCAAACACCGCCTGCAGAGTGACAAATACGGAACCCGTCATGGACACATTCGTCCCCTTCACCACTCCTATACCAATGACGATGCCAATAGGCACAGAGGTAGCATAGATCATAATAAAGAATATCTCCATGCAAAGATTCATAGTGGCTTCTGCCAATCGTGAGCCCAGTGCGAGACCCTCAAAGATTTGATGGAGTGTTAATGCCACAAGTAATGCCTGAGTTTCCGAGTCGTTGGCGATGCCAACAGAGACTCCCAGAAAGACACTGTGTAGCGCCAATCCAAATTCCATGAATACCGCAGATGCGATACGCCGAGCACTGTCAAGGCGTGCTGTAGACACGGTACCGTGGTTATGGCATCCAGCCAGAGTGGCCGCACTGTTATCAGGCGCCGTAGTCATTTCCTGTGTTGTTCTTCCTCCCCGCTCTACTTCGAGACCAGACTGTTCATACTCATCCGGTGGAGAATAGCCGGCATCACGCTTTGACCATCCCTCAACTAAAGAATCCATCTGTACATCCATCAAGTGCATTAACATCGCTGAAACCATAGCAAGTAGAAGAGAATACGCATCAAATGAATCTTGTAGTACAGATGGTACGCAATCCTTCAGAAAACCAAGAATACCTTGGTTTAGCAAATGAACCATGGCCACAGACATAACAACACCAGTAGATATACACTTACCAAGTACGATTAAAAATGGATGCATGCGAAGTGCAGGTACGTACTTCCCGAGAAGTGGAAGTGTCGTCCCCAGAGAAGAGGCAAACAAAAGAACAAAAATTGCCCAAACATGCAATTGCACAGAGTAAGCACCCCTAGAGGAAACACAAGAATGTAAACCTCTACGATTATACGGATGAGTAATTGGGCAATTCTCGTTATTCATTTCCTCATACAGTGCAGTATAACGCGAATGAAGCGTGTCGCATTTACCAGTGATATCTGCCATATTAAAAAAAAAAAAAAAAATTCTTGTCAAGAATGAAAATAAAATGCAATTTATCCAATCCCTTTCTTCTTTCTTTTTTTTGTTTTGTTATGATTTTTGATTTAAAATGATAAAAAAAGAAAAAAAAAGGAAAAAAAAAAAAAGAAAACCACTACGTAATGAAGACATTAATACTAGTTGAAAAATCAAAATGAAGTAGTCAAGTCCATGGAATTTGCTATTTTTTTTTCTTTTTTCTTTCTTTCTTTTTTTCATCTTTTAACTTTCCCCCCACCCTCTCTTGGTTATATTCCCAAAGGGAATAAACGCTTTGCTAAATAATCAGGAAAACTAATTTGAAAAAAAAAAAAAACTTCGTTGATACATGTATGTATGGTTTATTTCTTTATTTCTTTTTTCAACAAACTCCATAAACCATAGGAATAACAATGGGAGATCTTGTAGTACCACCACACTACATTCTTCTCATGATACCTGGGAGACTTCTTCACATCCTTACACTGGCACATCCACACAATTTGAAATATATAACAGTAATAATAATAATAATAAATGGTGATTATTATTATTATTATTATTATTATTATTATTATTATTATTATTTATTATTAATGATAATAATAAACACCCACATCTACAAACACCCCACACCCAGAAATATCCTTTGTTCGATTTTTTTTTCTTTTTTTCGTTTGCTTCTGTATTACTCCCTCCTTTTTACACGCGCACTTCACCCTTTTTTTTTCTTTTTTTTTTTTGTTACCTATCAGCAGAAATGTGTTTTTCATTGTATTTTTTTTTTTTTTCTGTTTTCTTCCTCCAGTTTCGACTATCCGTGTATAGATAAGGTCACATCCCATTAACGAATGTGCCTAACAGGGAAAATCTCACTGAATTTAAATGTGGGTTTCAACAAGAATGTATTGAAAACCACCCAAAGATGCCTTTTTTTTTTTTTTTCTTTTTTTACAATTGCGGCTATCATATTATCCTCATCGTATTACAACATATTAATATATCCAATCCCAATATTATGGACTCCCACCTACACGAGAGAACCCAAAAAAAAAAAAAAATCAAAAGAGAAAAAAGAAAAGAAAGAAAAAAAAAAAAAACAAGGAACAGGATGTGTACATTACACATTAGTGCCAGTTTGCTAGCACTGCCATAATGGCTGCCCCTCCCCATAGTGCCACAAACATCGCCAAACATTTCCATAAACGATGTTTTTCCTTTATGCCTGCATGTCTACGAAGATCTGCTGGGAAGTCATTCAACAAGAGTCCAAAACCCAAATAAAGTAAAATTCCACCACCAACGGCATTCACAATGGCCTGCAGAACCACAAAGACTGGTCCAGTAACCGACACATTCGAACCTTGCATGGTGATAAGTCCAATCGCTGCGCCAACAGGGACAGAAAATGAAAAGATAAGAGTTAGTAATATCTCCATTCCTGAATGCATAGATGCTTCTGCAAGTCTTGAACCCAGCGCAAGTCCTTCAAATAGTTGATGGAAGGATAGTGCCACAAGTAATGTCTTTGTACTTGAGTCATCTGTGATCCCCACAGAGATACCCAAGAATACACTATGCAGTGTTAAACCGAATTCCATCAAAACAGCAGCAGCAATACGACGTGCCCCAGTCAGACGAGTTAAAGTACCAACACCGGTTCCTTGACAACATCCTCTAAGCTCACACATTGATGAAGGTTCTGCACAACATCCTTCTACATTACATGTAGATGATCCTTGATTACGTTTTATATCCTCTTCATTTCCATCCACTACTCCAGTAGAAGAAGAACAACCCCTGTTTTCAGCTTCCATAGACCATTTTTCAAGTAATAAATCCATTACAACATCTACCATATGCATTAGCAAAGCTGCTACCATCGCAAACAACAAGGCGTATGCATCGTATGTGCTGCTTTGGAGTGCTGTAGGTACACAATCCTCCATAAAACTGTGCAAACTATGATTTAACATGGTAAGCAACGCAACAGCCATAACCACACCTGTAGAGACACACTTAGCAATGACAACCGCAAACAAATTCATACGAAGGGCTGGCACATATTTTCCAGCAAGTGGCATAATTGTTCCCAGAAAGGATGCCACTAAAAGAATGAATATAGCGGCAACGTGCAAAGGAACAGAGTACGCACCGTGCGTGGCACTACAGCCGCCATGATGGCCGTGACCGCCGTGCTCCATGTGCCCCTCATCTCCACTGCTGCTGTGCGAGTGGGCGTGAGAGTGAGAGTGAGAGTGAGAGTCCATCGAGAGACACGGGGCGCCGCTGTCGTCCAGCATGGAGGAGAGCTTTGAAAGGAGAGAAGCGCAGGTGTCACCACCCATACTATGGCCTGAGTGGTCCATCGTGCTTTTTTTTCTTTTTTGTTTTTCCTTTTCTCTGTTCTGTTCTGTTCTGTTCTTTCGCTTTGTAAACGCCCTTTCTGTTCCTCTATAAAGAACGATTGCTTTTTTTTTTTGATGGCAGAGGGATTTTCTTATTTTCCTTTTTGTTTTACGTGACAGAAGAAAATAAAAGAAAAAGAATAGAAAAGAATACTGTTTAAGCCTCTTTTTTTTTTTTCTTTGATGATTTTTTTTTTCTTTTCACAGAGAGCAAGGGTTCAAACAAGGTAGAAGACCACAAGAAAAAGAAAATAATCTTAGCCTTACTTCTACTATATAAACAAGAACAGAAGAACAAAAAGAAAAACCCTGTATTTAACCTCCACGAATTGAAACCCCATCGTGTATATAAAAAATAAATTGTATTTTCCCAGACACTTATTTATTCAAAAACATCCTAACAGAACCAACGAAATGAAAGTGTACTGAGAAGCCCCTTTTTAGCCCGCTCCCCGCTCGGGGGCGGAGAGGGTTTAGTTGTTGGTTTGGGCTTTTCAGAAACTTACGATTGACAGACTGTAAGAGATTGGAAAGAAAACTCATTTTCCTAAATGTTTACACCCCCAGTACAAGACTTGCTAAGTAAAAAACAACAGTAAGACTCGATCATTCTTTTCGCACGCGGACCAAAAAAAAAGGGAGGAGAGGAACATAATCTAGGCAATACAGGAAAAAAAAAATAATAAGAATCCCGCATATATATATATATATTCAACGTTTGGTCCAGTTGACAATAAATTCGCACCAAGAGGAAAGAAATTCCCTTCCCTTATTCCCAAAAGGTAGAAATTGTGGTTACTTTATTCCATTCCATTTTCCCTTTTTTTTTATTTATTTATTCCATTCTTTGTCACTTAAAAAGACTCTCGATAAACACGGCGATACCAATTCTTTTCAAAAACAAGTTCATTATTCATCCTTGCCTTAATCTCTGCATGTATATGAAGATAATCCGCATCACATGTCTGCCGGGTATTAATGTCAATATCTGCCTCCCATCCCGGGCGTCCCATTTTCATTTTTTGTGTAATACTGTAATAAGCCGAAAGTGGATCCTTGTTAGAAAGTCGCAACTCACGCTTTAAGTTGTGTTCCACGGTGGTATCAATTTCATCAAAGCGGTAAACACCCTCGCCAAAGACACCACCCACTCCGTCTGTAATGCAGGTCCACTCATCCTTCGTGATATCGTACGTGATGGAGCGATTCACAAATCCTGGACGGAGTTTCGTAATGGGTGTGGGAACGGCTGTTTCTGGTTTCGGATTGGGACCTGCAGTGGCGTTCGTCGTGAGTACGGGAAGAGAAAATCTCGCACTGTCAAGATCCAATCTTAATGTGTTGATTTCAGGAGAAACCCAAAACATTGGCCAAAAACTGTTTGCCAGAGAAAGGCGTATTCGGTGTCCTTTAGAAAAACGATAACCACAGTAATCTAATTTAATAGACACCAATAATTCTTTCCCTTCCTGTAAATACATAATTTCTTTACCATCCATAGATAGTGTTAAATTTTTTATACCAAATGAAACACGTCTAACTGCACCATCTGGTGCGACATCACTTAGTTGAGCAAATAGCATTGCTTTAGGTTTATCACATGTGAGTCTTACCGTAAATGTAGGGATACCCAAGATATCTATATCCTGATTTAGTATAGGACCATCAAATACCATAGCAAGACCATCATCCAGGCGTTGATCAGCAGGACTTTCACCTGATACTCCAGCTCCCATCCATTCACCTGAAAGTAAACCATGATTCAAAGGAGTTTTAAGTAAAACATATCTAAACTCCTTATTTACTGTATCATTGGTATCTAATAATCTGCCATTATCAAGTAACATAGTCTGCACCGTACAATGAGAATGAATAGAAGGAGATAAAGTGACCCAATGACCCTCACTTTGAGGGCGTTGAACATTAGGTGGCATATAATGTTCAATCCATACTTTTAATGATTCTTCAGTTTTCCCATCTTCTTTATTTTTTAACCACTTATCCCACCAGTTAAGAGACTCTTGTAAGAAACCTATAGCCGGTTCTGGAACACCATCTTGTGGATAAATATGCGCCCAGGGTCCTACAATTCCCTTTACTGGACACCTTATATTTGGGAGTAACGTAAATACACAATTCGTATATGAATCTGCCCATCCACTTACTGCCATTACAGGAATATTTATAGAATTATAATGCTCACAAACTGACCCATGCATCCAATACTGATCATATGTTTGATGTTCTGTCCAGTCTGCAATATTCAGTGGCATATTTTCCAGACGATGAAGCCACATATCTTTCCATCGTTCTCCAACAATAACAGGATCTATTGGACGTGATTGATACGCTAACATAATGGAACCCCACCAAAAATTATCATTAAGAAGACAACCATCTTTCCAGTGAATATCACTTGTAAAGCGGTTATCTGAGAAACAAACTGTTATAATAGCTTCTAATCCTGCTGGACGACGTGCCGCTACTTGAAGTGAATTAAATCCTCCCCAAGACTTTCCCATCATACCAATACGACCATTACACCATACCTGATTTCTTATCCATTCAATAACCTCAAGAGCATCCTCTTGTTCTTGAAGAAGGTATTCATCTAGTAAAAGACCATCTGACTCACCACTTCCACGCATATCTACACGAACACAAGCATATCCATGGCCTGCGAAATAACCATGCATAGGCTCATCACGAGTCCTCGTTCCATCTCGTTTACGATATGGAATATATTCTAATATGGCAGGTTGTGGTTTACCATCTAATGGGAGCCAGAGGCGGCATGAGAGACGGGTGCCATCACTCAATGGGATCCAGTCATTTTCAATCACTTTGACTTTATGGGGAAGTTTATGAACAATATGTTTTTGCATTGTAAACTTTTTATAATTCTTTTTTTTTTCTTTCTTTCCTTTCGTTTTTTTTTTTCTCTTTTGCTCTCTTTTTGTAACTGATATATGAAATTCAATAAATAAAAACAAGAAGAGTTTTTTTTTTCTTCTTTATTTTGTTTTTGTTTTTTTTAGTTTTTAATCTTCTATTTATGGAATGAGGAAGTTGAGAGAAAGGAAGAAAGTAAATAATGAATGAACAACAAGAAATAAAAAATAAAAAAACATCAAGTAGGAATATTGATTTGAGATATACAATATATAAATTACGATTTAGTATCAAAGTAATATGTGATTCAAATGCATCTAGAGATTTTTAACACTGTCTCCTTTTTTTTTTCCCATTTACCTTTCTTTCTCATTAAAAGAGAGAGAGAGAGGGGAAAAAAAGAGATAAATTATACAGTGACACTCAATTATCTTCGTAGATGCCCAAATTCTTCATAATTCGAGAGAAAACAGCCTTATCTTCAATTACACGATAATGATGCAGGCGTGTATAAAGGTTAGCATGTCCCTTAACGGTTTTTCGAAGTTCCATCGTATATCGAACAATGTTCCGCATAGGAACAATTGCCTTCACTGATCTTCCATCTTCTTGAATATCTACTGTAACAGCCTTACGTTCATTTAATGAGCTTACGAGTGGTCCAATATAAGTTGGCTCTGTCAAATGAACCTCCACTTCCATCATTGGCTCAAGTGCGGCAAGGTGGGATTTGGGCACAGAACGTAATAACTCCAATACAAGTGAACGAGCTGCTTGTGCCAATGGTCGTTCTGTTAATTGTGTACTACTAAGTTTTCGAAGTCCTGTCAGTATGACTTGTACACCATGTAGAGGAAGACCCGCGAGTGGTCCGAGATGAGAGCAGTCGGCAACAGCGCTACTAAATACTTCTGTGAGAAGTCGAAGTTCTTCTTTGGCGTTGCGGTGATAATCCTCCGTACGGCGACGGCGATCACCGTGTTGGTGTTGTGAAGATGATAATGATGAAGTTGCATTAGAAAGAAACTGAGAGGCAAAATCGGGATCTACGATAAAGCAGCATTTTTGACTCGGTGTACAGGAGTCATCCGCCTCTAGTAGAGGTCGCAGCAAAAGTGAACACTCTATATAAGGGAGTTCATTATAGGTCCCTACTTTTTGGGATAATTCTACAGATTCCTTAATGACTTCACGATACTCTATGATAGCACGTAATAGACGACATTTAAGTTGATATTCATGCTCTAATCTTGACATGACAATTTCAAGATGAAGTTCCCCCATTCCACTTATCACCATTTGTCCAAAATCATTCTTGTGAACACATAAACTTGGGTCTTCAAAACTTAATTCCTCTAAAGCATTTTCCAGAAAAGGAATTTGTTGTTTTGTTGCCGCTTCAATAGAAAAAGAAATTACAGGTGGTGGAGCATCAATACCTTCAAGTGTAAAAACTTCTTTAGAAGCATCTTTTGTATTAAACTGTACATGCTTCGGTGAATGAAAAAGGGTAGCACCTGTTTTTGTATGCTGCATAAAAGCTGCTCCAATTTCTCCTGCTACAAGTTGTGGAACCTCTACTTGGTGATTTGCATGCATAACATATAATTTTTCAATAGTTTCATGACGATTATTGGTATTATTTACAAGTGTCATTTTTGGAGTTAACTTACCACTATATATTCGGAAAAATACCAAAGGTTGACGTTTTCCTTTTGGACCTGTAGCATGTGTTACTTTAAATGCTAATGCTAATAAGGGAACATGATGAATAGCTGAAGCTGATGGAAGTGGAACAATCTCCTTCTCACGTGTATAACCTGTTAGTGGTCGATCTACAGGAGATGGTAAATAATATGTAATAGCATCTAATAAGGGTTGTACACCTTGATCTCGTCTAGAGGCTCCACATAGTACTGGCATAAGAGGTCTTTCAACATCTTGCCGTAGTGTTTGTCGACGAATAGCTGCACGAAGTACATCACATGAGATGAGACTCTCCGCCTTTTCCTCATCCCCGTCTGCCTCATCCAGTGCGGCAATCACCGCATCCGACAGAGTGTCATCGAGTTTTGTTAATGTAGAAAAGAGTGTATGCCGTGCGTTAAGAGCGGCTTTTATAATGTGATCAGGTTCACAATTAGTCAAACGCAAATCTCTCACTTCCATCTCTGCCCCGTGTTTACCGTTGAAACGACATGTTCGCATCTCCACTACATCCACTACCCCTTCAAAGCCACCGTCTTCTGCGGTGAGGGGAAGTTGCAGGAGTAGTGGCTCTACCTCCAACTTGGTGCGAATCGATTCCACAGACTTTTGAAAGTTGGCGTTGTATTTATCCATTTTATTTAAGAATCCAATAACGGGCGTGCCAAACTTTCGGCTTTGACGCAGTACGGTGTGGCTCTGCGCCTGAACCCCGGCGGAGGCATCGAAGAGGGCCACCACGCCGTCCACCACCCGCATGGCCCGCTCCACCTCCACCGTAAAGTCCACGTGGCCGGGAGTGTCGATGAGATGAATGGCGTGCCCCCGCCAGTGTAGAGATACAGCCGCGGATTGAATCGTAATGCCGCGATCCATTTCCTCCTTCATGAAGTCTGTGGTGGTGGTCCCACTGTCAACATCCCCAATACGTTTAACAACACCAGCGTAGAAAAGCATACGCTCCGTGGTGGTGGTCTTGCCAGCATCAATATGGGCTACTACACCAATATTCCGCATACGTGCAATAGATGCCTCTAATGCCTCTCCCTTTCCATCAAATGAATTCATTGTTGTTTTTGTTTTTGTTGTTGTTGTTGCTGTTGTGTGTGAAGAGTATAGTGATGAAGAGCATGTTAACTGCCGCACTATTACTCTTGTGGTGCAATGCCAGAGAGGGACTTTCCGCTGCCAATGTAATGCAACATACTGTCGAAGCATATCAAATCAGTGGAGAGGAAGAGGATCCCTATATACATTGTTAATGTTTACAGAGACAAGAGGGAAATAAAAAAAATAAAAAAGAAGTGAATAAATAAAAAGAATAAAGAGATGTCAAAAAAGAGATCAGATGATTTTAAACAGAGATGGTAAAAAACAAAAAAAAAATTCCAAATAAACAAAAAAAAAAAAAAATCGTATCCGTAAAAACGAAATTAAATCGAAAAAGGAATAATAAAAAAAAAAAAGAAGGATGTGAACATGAACAAGCTGATGATGTTGATATTGATGATAACAGAATAAATGAATGAAAAAAGAGGTTAAAAACGGAAATATTGTTCTGTTTACATCATAAATAAAAACACCACACATAGTCATACATATAAGAATATATGTATTCATTACAATGGTGGAGTTAACTTGAACATAAATAGACACACACATCACATACTTACGTATATAATTTCTCATTTTGAATGTCGCTTCCAAAGTGGAAATGAAGACTTCTGATAATTTTATTAAGGATTACATCACTTTCGTTTATTGGTGTTGTTGTTTTTTTTTTTTTTTTTGGTGAATTAGAACGTTGCTTCTTTATTTTCACTTCTTTTTTGTTTTTCCTTTTTTACTTCTTTTCCATTGCGGCCATCTTCTGCACCCGCCGCACATGCCGCTCCTCCCCGCTGAAGGGTGTCTGCAGGAATGTAATGATGATCTCGCGGATCACCTCCACGCCGGTGGTGCGCTCGCCGACACACACCACGTTGGCGTCGTTGTGCATGCGGCACATCGCGGCGGTGTAGTGATCGTGGCAGAGCGCCGCCCGCACGCCCGGCACTTTATTCGCCGCGATGGACATCCCGATGCCGCTGCCGCACGCCAACACGCCGCAGTCCGCCTCGCCGCTGGCCACCATCGCCGCCACGCGCTGGGCGTAGTCGGGGTAGTCGACCGGGTCCGCGGACTCCGGGCCGCAGTAGACCGGCACGAACTCCTCGCCGGCATCCTGCACGTACCGCATGAGATTCGAGCGGATGGCGAACCCCGCCTGATCCGTGCCAATAGCAACCTTTCGCACCATGAGTTCTTTTTTTTATTTTATTTTTACTTGTTTTGTGTTGGATGTAGTTTTATGGGGTTCTTGTGGAATGCTTCGTGTGGGTTCCTTGATTTGGGTTTATCTAGGAAGAATATATTGATCTTATTAGTGGTATTATTATTATTATTATTATTATTATTATTATTATTATTATTATTATTATTATTATTATTATTATTATTATTTTTATTATTTTTATTGGGTGGGGGAGAGTTTGCAAGAGAAGAAAAAGGAAGATAAAGGGAAAAGGCAGAAGGGTAAATGTATAACAAGCATGGGCAGCAGACCAAGTACATTTTTTTTTGTATATATAGATTATATTTACAAACAAAATCAGATATTAGACAGTTCGTGACAAGGAGAGAGAGAGAGTTGGAGGAGATAACAACACAAATAAAAGAGCACACAAAGACAAAAATAAACAGAAGAAATAAAGCGCAGACACATACACACACACACACACACAGACAGACAGACAGACAGACAGACACATAAAAACAATTTCAGTCGCAAAACGAGTGTTTCCACATACCTAGAGTAGAGCAAAATACCTTCCTTATACAGCTCTGCAAGGAAGATCACCTTCTACTTCTTGTTTCTTTTTTCGTTCTTTTTTACAGCAAAGGAGGATCCAGAAGGCACCCATTAGAGAAATTGCCTTTTTTTTCTTTTCTTTTCTTTTCTTTTCTTTTTTGCAAGAGGAAGGGGTAGAGGAAGGAATAAAAAGGGAAAGGGGGTGGGGGAACTCGCACATAAATTTAAAGAAAAGGGAATATTTCAGAAACGTTCTTTCTCTTTCTTTTTCTTTCACCTCTCTCTCTCTCTCTCTCTCTCTTTCTCTTTCTTTTTCTCTTTCTTGTTATGTTGTTCTCGCATAGGACTCATACTCTTTTTTTTTTTTGTTGCTGTTTTGCCTGTAAATAGCAGTGAGCCAAGAGATATTTCTTGCCAAATGTTTTCTACGTAATATTTGACCAATATATTCACTTCAACTGTATCCTTGTTGCTGTGATTATTGCTGATGATAATGAAATCCCAGCGGTAACAGTTTATTTCAGTTTTCCATCAGTTTTTTTTTTTTTTTCTTTTACTTCTTGTGTTTATTGTTTTGTTTTGTTTTTCTCTTTTCTTTTTTTTTTTCGTTTTCGTATTCATCTGTGATCTGCAAATGAAAAATAAATGCTGCATTGCACTCATGCATTACTGCTCTCTACCCACTATCACACGGCGCTCTCACTTTTCGCTCTCACATACCCCCACCCACATATATATATATATATATATATATATATATATATATATATATATATATAGACACATATATAGACACACCCATGAAAAAGGGAAGAAACAAGAACAATAATAATAATTTAAAAAAAAAAAAAAAATTATATATTTTTTCCTTTTTCTTATTTTTTCTTTCCTTCTTTCTTTATTTCTTACTATCTTACTTTCTTTCTTCTTCCTTCTACACCACCCCCCACCTCCCACCTTCCGCATTACAGAAAGTAGTCTGGAAGAATACGCATTAAGTACAGCACCACGCACTTGGACTCCGCGAATGGAACCTCTGTGCAGTAGTAAAGGGTCTCCACGTAGCGCTGACAGGCACCGTAGTGTCCCACCCACACACACATCAGTCGAAACATGTTGCGGAAGAAACAACCACCATAGCGATAGTAATACTCTTCACCCGCACTTCTCGGTGCACAATGACCATATAAGAGAAAAGATGAACATCGATCGGCCCCATCACTTGCCGTACATAAACAGGAACTTCTTTCAGAGTGGGAATGATTAGGAAGAATACCTCCTTCTGTTCCTTCTACCGCTTCTTTTTCTACTTCTTCTTTTCTTACAGTTGACCTTCCTCTTTGAAGTTTTCGTTTGCTGCAATGCATTGGTGCATCGCGTTCTTTTTTCCACTTTTTATAACCTGCTAATGCTTGTGGTCTTAGTTTTTTAAGAATATCATGCACCGCCTCTGCACCTCCTAAACGAGCAGCACGAACAAATAACAAAACACATGTGGTCACTACACAAAGTCGTCCTGCATTTTGAATTCTCTCTGCATTTAAGGGTCCCAACATACCATATACCAATTTATGTGGTTCTTGCAGAAGAGTTTTCTCAAGACCAATGAGTGAAGCCAAACCCCCATTCTCCGTACCTTCCATCTCAGGATAGAGTGGTACGACAAGGTGGGGTGGTGGTCCAATAGGGGGTAATTCTATTTTACCCATAATAATATCCCGATCAAAATCATCAAAGAAACGGGGAAATGGTCTTTCTCCAAGCAAGAGACGATGAGGAGCACGCAGTAGTATTTGTAGCATATCCCATAATGACAAAAAGGATGAAGAAGAGGAAACAGTAGAGTCGTTAGCCATGGCAGTCGTTTTCATATTGGAAGGAATATCAAAAGAAGAAGAAGAAGTAGTAGTAGAAGAATAATTGCCAAATACTGCTGCTTCAGATTCTGAAGGGAAATTCACTTCTCCAGATTCCTTATTATCTTTTGCTCGTTTTCTCTCACTGAGAATAGCGATGAAACGTCTTGAATTTTTTCCAATATAACTAAGTCTATTAGGGTGACCTGTTACAATATCCCCAATACGGGCAATACCATCCAATGATTCTTTTGCATCTACCGTAAACGGTGTTACCGGTTTCCACACATAATTCATCTTTGAACGTAATCCAGGTGTTAAAGAAAGTAAAAGACTACGCACAAAAAGATTAGTATCACATCCATGACGATATATACGTCTCATTAGAACCTTTGCAAAGGGTTCATGCTCTTGACGATCTAATGGAGGTAAACGCAGTAACTGTTCCATCTGTGCAGATGTAGCATGAACGTGACGACTATTAGATGAAGAAATTGCAGTGGGACCATTAAGATGCTGTAGTGAAACGAATCCCATTACATAATTCTGTAAAAGTGTAAGATTTTTGTGGTGATAACGAATAAGTTCTCCAAGTAAGGCAAAGAAACTATCAATACGTTTAGATGGAGAAAGTGATCCACTAAGACCAGGCACATAAGTAGCATTATAAACACGATGTTCAAGAATAGAACCCATGAGTACCTCTCCTAATACACTTTGTGGTGAATTTGCCGCTGCTTTTTCTCTAATTACAAAAGAAAAACAACGTAAATACCCTTCAAGAGCATGACATGCAGATGTCTCTACACAACTATCTTCACCTCGTTCAGCTAATGTAATAGCAATTTTCATTGCAAGTGGGGCAGATTGTTCAGATGTGTCACCTTCAAGAAGCATAAAGCATTCTCGACGATCTTGTGCATTCCAAAATTCTTGTACTCCTCGTAATAATTCAAGTTTTCTAATAGTATTAGGTTCATGTTGATGAATTTTATCATCAAATCCATCACTATCATCAGAAACTCCATGAAGTGTACCATGTCGCATGTACGCTTCAGTATCTTCACCTACCTGCATTGCGATGGGTAGTCGTTCCTTATCATGTTCATTATTATAACTACTGTTGACATTATTGATGTCTCTACTGTTATTATTGCTATTGTTATGGTAATTATCATTTTCATTAGGTTGCAGCACCTCTTCTACTACCTCTGTTCCCTCTCTACACTCACTTGACGTTAAGAAACGTGGAAGTTGATGCAGTTCTGAAGACTGTCTTAAATTTTCAAAATATGGTGAAATAGCATTATGTGAAGCACGTGACTCGAATGCTGCATCGTAAAACTTATTTGCTACTTTAATCCACTGACACTCCCGTAATGTACACCAGACATCACCAAAAAAGAATGTTGATAACATCAAATTTAATACAAATAATATCTCACTCTGTGCACTGACAATAATCTGTGTTCGATTGGGCATTACATGGTGTCGCATAATCGGTTTAAGCAACTTCCAAAAGACAGCGCTTTGTTGTTGAAATGCCTCATACGCTGTTTTATCAGTAACAGGTCCAAACCCGCAGAGTAATGGACGATTGTCATCTACTTCTGCGCGTAGTGTTAAATCCCGCATACGCCATCGTTGTTTGGCATCTGCACATCCAACAAACCAACTGAAGTCCACATTTGAACCCACAGCGGCGACCGAAGGAACAGAGGTGGCATCATCCTCCGCCCAGGCCGCCATTGTATTACCAAGTGCCTCTTGTAATGAGATATCTGTCATGGAAATAAAATCTTCTTGACTTGGTGGAATCATGGATGCGGCTTCTACAGTAGATGCCGCGGCTCCAGATGCGGTTGTGGTGACAGTAGCGAACCCACTAGATCCACGCCAGTCTGTGCGATCTCCGGTATTATCATTTCCATTAGCGCGGCTAACCATACGAGAGACAGTAAAGGGAAATTGAACAAGATCTAAACCAGCAAAGATATTGGGAGTTACTCCTGCAGCTATAGATGGCATTGGAGCAATAGCGGTAGTGTACCAATCTCGAAGAAGTGGTTGCATAAAAGAACCCACAGGAGATAAAAAAGATTGATCCCCATGATATACGGGAGGATCATCATTAGATACACCTACTTCACATAATGCTACTAATCGCTTAACAAGTCCTTTTTCTCCTATAAGCCAAAGTACATTACTGTCAATTACACGTTGAATACGTTGAAGTGGTAAAAGTGTTTCTGGAAAAAGGAGACGTTGATGTGGAGACTCGCGTTGATTTAGTACTACACCTGGTACGATGAGTAATGCTATAACACGACATAAAATAGCAAGCGTTGCGTCATCTTCCGTACGAATCAACTCTTGCAGTAATGGAATTTTTGATATTTCCAACACAGGTCCAACACTAAGAACTAGGTGCTCCAACATAACTAAAGCCGCAAATCGAAGATCTGGGACTCTTGCTAACTCCAGTAATTGAAAAAAGAAACCAGGGTAGTGATCATAATAATACCACCCTAATTCATTTTGACATACTAATAACTCTGTCAGTACACGCATTAAAGATGCAATAGCAGCAACAAATTCTCGTGGAAATGCCAAATCTTTCCCAGTAGTATTTATGTGTAATTTTCCTTTTCTAGAATGTGTTGACACGTTCACATCACACAAAAGAGTGACAAACAAATCAATACCGCCAAGACCGACGAAATACACCAAAAGATGTGGTTTATTTGGATCAAAGTAAGCATTACACTCCTGCAGCCATCGGTTAACGGCAACAAAATCGCCACGTTCCCACGCTCCCACGATATGCTTGAGTAAATCAAATTGCTCACCAGAGAGTGTGTTGAGTTCCCGCAGCTGCTGAGACTCCTCGTTGCTCATTTTCAGCGGGGGCTGCGACCACGACAATACATCACGCACACACACGGGGTCTCTGCCGGACCGCTGCGCTCGCAGGGACTGAAACAACGACATAATCCCAATCTACTCTTCCTTATCGTTTATTGGATTGTTATTGTTATTGTTTTTTTTAAGGGAGGGACAGGAAAGGAGGAAAACAAAACAAAACAAAAGAGGAAAAAGAAAAATATATTTTATTCTTGTATCGCGCCTGTAAGTAATGTGAAAGGTCAACTTTATAATATTTTTTTTAAGCAGAAAAGGGAAAACAAAGGAAAATTAAAAAAAAAGGGGGAAGAGGGGGAAAGAAGAGGAAAAAAACGGAAAAGGAAGAGAAAAAAAAAGAGGGGAAAAAGACGAACAAGTGGATGAGAGAGAGTGTGTGTGTATGAGAAAATTGAATAAGGAAAACAGAAGAAAACAAGGAGAATAATAACAACAAAAAAAAAAACAATAGTAATAATAATAATAATAATAATAATAATAATAATAATAATAAAAGATACAATGAAAGAGACACAATGAAAATGAAAAACAAAGAAGAATCCAAAGAAAAGAAAGAGAGGTGAGCCAATTGGGGATGACAAACTTGGCTTTCCTTGAGTTGATCTGAGAATCATCTAAAAAAAAAAAAAGAGACTACAACGGAAATTCATTGAAAGAAAGTATTTCATCTCAAGTCCCTCAGCCGACCCATGAAAAGTACTAATATATATATATAGAGAGAGGGGAAAGGGGCCTCAGTCAAGCAGCGAACTTTAGCCATATAATACATGGAATACTTTCATTCTTTCTTTTTTTTTTCTTTTTTGTCCGTTTTTTTTTCGCTTTTCCTTTTCTTCCATCCCCTGTGGCGATAGATCCCACACGCGTTACTATTTTCTCCAATAAATTTCTCCCCAATTATTTCTTTTGGTCATCCTATTTTTTTTTTTTACTTTTTTACTTTTTTCCTTCACATTTTGCTCCACGCCCTCACATATGCATCTACTTCCTTTGCAACCCTGGTGAGCTCGTACGTTCGTTCACGCGTAAACAGTTTTTCAATTTCAATTGCATTTCTCTAATTTGATGCTCTCAACACCAACCTCTTCTCTACCCATTTTATTTTATTTTTCAATCTTTTTTTTTTTTTTTGTTTCCACCACTTTTTTTTTTCCCTTCCCTCAGAATACTCTCCTCCTTTGTAGTCTACTCTTAAGATCTACTTTCATAGATTCTTGCGTTTTTTTTTTTTTTTTTTTGTTTTTTTTTTTTTTTTTGGTTTTTTTTTACTTTTATTCTTCTTCTTCTTCCAAATATTTAGATGTGCACTGATCCCTTTCGTCTTGGTGGGTTTTTGTCCTTTGATGGGGCAGGACCAAGATGAGGTCGGTAGTCGACGCTCGGCCGCGCGGATGTTTGCAACATCACTTCTGGTGGTTTCCTCTCGGATGGAATCTCTCTTGGCTCCGCCGCCGGCTCCGATCGCTCAATGCGGTTATTCACAACCTGTGGAAGATCAGCTGGCGCACCGCAGGTACCAGTGCTGTTGACACTGAGACTGCGAGCATTCACCACCGCTCCTCTATCCGGGAGACTGTTGTGTTCAGATCCATGCAGAGATGCAGGCCGACTTCTTTGACGCGGAGGTGTTTGATCTTGTGGTTGCCGATGGTGAAACCCAGACTGCATAGTAGTAGAGCGATTACTATGCATTCCATTTTCAGGAATTTTGTAGTCATCCTTTATGGGAGTATAACTCATATCACCACGATTCATGGAATCATTAGTAGATTGATCTTGAGTTCTTCTAAGAGGACTCTCTCGCGCAACTTGGGAGGATTTTCCTCGATTAACAAAACCTGAAGGTTCGCATCCACAGAAACATTCTTTCCTTTTCTCAAGTGCCATAATACGTGATTCATAAGTTCGTTGTTTCTGCTTCATATCATTGATCTCATTTTGTAATTGTTCAATAATCCTTCTCATAGATTCATTTCCTTGAATATCAGACTGTGGGAGAGATTTTCCTCGTACCTTCATATCCCCTCCTGACTCACGTGAGATACTTCCTTGATTTTGTTGGTTATACTTTTCTTTTACTGAATTTGGAGATGCTGTACGTGTTTGGTCATTTTGTGGAAAACGATATACCTGCTCTGGTGGAGCCCGAGAGGAGTGTCGTGAATGTGCATCAGAGTCTTTACGGGATGATGAACGTTCCGTTACTCTACGTTGTGGACTCCCTGTGCGTGAAAGAGGTCCTCTTGAGGAAGCTCGTGAATGACGTCGTGATTGTGCTCGAGAAATACGACGAAGACTTGTGGTTGCAGCTGCTGCTTCGCGATCATCTGGTCCAACATATATTGGATGTTGACCACGTGCTTCCCTTTCTAGATTACCCGCATCAATTTCTCCCGCAATGGATTGACAAGCATCAGTTACAATAGTCATTACAGTATTGTTTGTTTTTTGTATATTGCTAATAAGCTCCAATGTATTTTCCGGATGCAGTTTCCATCCAAAGATATCAAGTAAAAGCATAGTTCGATTAGAGCTTAACGCAGAAAGTACAAGAGCGGCAACTCCTGGATCTGGATTCATAAAACCCAGAAAAAGTTGAATAAGTGAAGTATTGTGTCGAATAACATCAGCATACATCTCAATAGTTTCACTGTCAAAAAGATTGTGCCGTAAATTCAAACGTTGAATATTACATGTACTTGTCATGAGGGCTCTTGCTAATTCTTTACCCCCATCAGGACCAATACGGTTAGCAGTAAGATCCAGTGTAGATAAACTGATGGTAACGGGAATACATTGGGCGAGATGCGCCGCCCCGGCGTCTCGTATGGCGTTATATCCTAAATGTAAATGCCTTAATTTCCCTGCCTCACGGATTGCCTGTCCCAAATACATGGCCGCATCGGCTTCAATCTTATTATTGTGAAAGGATAGTTCCACAATATCACAGGACTCACTACCAAGTGCGGTGGCGATGGGAATAACACCAAGCTTCGTAATTTCATTCTCGGAAAGATCCAAGACCTTCAGTCCACAGCCATCCCGTGAGAGTGTGTGTCCAATGGCGACGGCTGCCTGATCCTTCAGTTTATTCCTGCCGAGCCGCAGTTCCCGGATGAGGCCGGGGTTCTCCTCAATCGCCCCGAGGAGTGCCTGCAGCCCCGGCAGCCCAAAGGCGTTATTCTCCACGTTGAGAACCCGCAGGGGGTGCGAGGCGACCATGAGGGCCTCCGCCACGCACGCCAAGTCCACATCGTTGAGCCGCACGGCGCGGTCGGCGAGATTTGCGGTGCGTTCGTTGTTGTCCAACGCGTACACTAACTCCAGCGCACACTCCGCGTGTGCCTCGTTGCAGGCGGCCACATACACCTCCGCAGCCTCCGAGTGCATCCCGTCAAATAATTGGAGAAGAGAGAGAAAAAAAAAAAAGAAAAACGAGAGGGGTTAATAAATATATATATATATATATATATATATTTATTTATATATTTTTTTAGTTATATATATATACTTATATATATATATGTGTGCGTGTGCTGGATTTCTAAAAATGAATAAATGTCTCTTCGACCCCTCTCTCCTTTTTTAAGAGAATTTATTGATGTAGATTATACAAACAGATAATATATCTTTCTCTATGCGTTGGCACTTGCCACCGCTACTGCTACTATAACTATAACTCCTGCTGTTGTTAGGTACAAAGCTCTTGGCGTCACTTCTACACCTCAGTGGTAATCGGGCTAAAAGAAAACCAAAAACGCAGAGAGAAGAAATAAATAAAATAATAATAGACCAAAAAGAAGAAATAATAAAAAAAAAAAAAAAAAAAAAAACAAAGAAACACAAGAAGAATTAAAGAGTGATAAAGTCACCCTCAGAAACAAGAGCAATAAAGGGGGAAAGAAAGAAAAAAAAAAAGCGATAGCAATACAGTAATAATAATAATAATAATAATAATAATAATAATAAGTAATAACAAAAACAATAATAATAACAATAAAGAAAACACATATAAAAGGCATATAAAAGGCATTTGTAGCGATATCAAACTTGCCAATATCTTAACTTACCCCTGTCTTTTCGCCATTCATTTTCCCCATTTTATCAAACTGTCACGCTCTCTTGCTCCCTCAATAAACTCTGAAGACAAGACGGAATCATACGCTTGCGGCAATGTAGCCCCCCACGCACAAACCACGAGGGGTACCACACGAAAAGAAAAAAGAAAAGAAAAGAAAAATTGAAAAACGGAATCTAAAGAGGGAAAAAAAAAAAAAGAAATGACACGAAACAATGGTCGCAAAAAAAAAAAAAAGACGTAAACTAAACAATTAAAAAAAAAAGTTTTCAACTCAGGAAAAAGGGAAAAAACCGCTACACATCTCATGTGACTGAAGCTGATGCGACACCGAACCAATAACATACTTGAAAATTAATATTTAGCATTAGCTGCAATGAAATTATTGCTGAAAAATCGCTCACATTTTACTTTGATCTGATGCTGATTCAATCAGCTTTTAGATAGCAAAACTATTTTCTTGTTTGTTTGTTTGTTTGTTTATTTTTGTTTTTTTGTTTTCTTCTTTCGCTCATCTTTCTGCCTCTTCTCTCCCTCTTTTTTTTTTTCTTCCCTTATTCTTCTTTATTTTCTTTTTTTTGTGATTGCAGTGGTAATTGTTGATCCAAACGATCCGTAGACGCTTTTCCAGGCACTATTCGATTTCTCCATGCCGATTTATCAATGGCCTTTTCTACAGACGCAAACATTTGACGTACTCTTGCACCAAGAAAGTGATGGCGTAAGCGATGAACTTCAGACCTCTGGGATGGTCGTTCATGCGGTGGAATAAGTAAATCTTCCACGGAAGAACGAATAATAGATGGGATAGGAAGGTCATTAAAATCCACATCAAACAATAATCGCATTCCACCTACAATTACCAAAGCTGTACAGAATAAGAAAAAATTTACAACAACTCTCAAGGTACACATGAAGTCATGCTTATGTGTAACTGGAGAATCATCTTCATTCATTAAAGAAGAATCAGAAGAAGATATGGTTGAGCTTATACTACTGTTTGGTGTGAATGAAGTAGCGCTAATACTGTTACTGTTACTCCGCAGTCCACATTGGAGGGATTCACAATAAGAGTGACGTTCTTCTCCTACACGTTCCGTAGCATCACTGCTTGTACCATTTGAATCCGTGTCACTGTATTCACTTAACCCTCTGTATTCATCAGGAGTATTCTTGTAATTTAGTTCTTTATGTAAAACAGGGCATGAACGACATTGACGTGTTGATAAATCGGAATCATCTTCTTTCAACATTTTTGCCAAAGGTGACCGTACAAGATACGATCTTTCTACTAACCCTCGCTTTTCACCTTCATTTATTTCTGAAATAGTTTTTGAAATAGATATGCAATTAAGTACAGACCCTACACCATTATTATGAGCTCCGAGTACCCAAGCATGACGCAGTAATTTCTTTACAGACCATCGTTTAGATGGAATGGGATGTAACATAACAGAGAAAAGGTGTTCTAAATCTGGTGATACTGGAGTTGGAAAAGAATACTTTCCTGACATGATAGACTCCACAAGAGTATCGACATTCTTCTCATCACCTTTAAATGGATGTTCACCAAACAGCATAACATAAAGTGTCACACCAGCAGCCCAAATATCAACTTTACGACCATCGTATTCGGGACATCGTACTAACAACTCAGGGGCACAATATTTTAGTGTTCCACATGGTCGATGTAGTAAACGACCAGGCGGGGCACAACATGCAAATCCAAAATCTGATATCATTAATTGTGTACGTTCCTTATTTAGTAGTATATTCTCTGGTTTAATATCACGATGGACAACGTTAGCTTCATGAAGTCTTTCTATACCATTAAGCAGTTGTCGAAAAAGTCTGCGAGTCCACTGTGATGATGCTGTAAGGCGCGTCTCCCGAATGAAGTCTAGCAAGGTTCCTCCTTCTACATAATCCATTACAAGATAATAGTTCCGTGCTGAAACGAGTTTATCTACTAAATTCACTAGATACTTGGACGAAGCCACCACCTCCATAGCGTTGATCTCTCGTACCAAAGCCCCCCGCATATTATTCGCCTCAGCAAGTGCTTTATTCACTACCTTCACAGCATACACCTTGCCAGTACTAATTTCTTCACATCGGTATACGGTGCTAAATGCACCCCTTGCGATTGGACATTCAATCCTATATTTGTGGTCTCCAACAATCTTTCCCACAGACATTAATATATATATATATATATATATATATATATATATATATATATATATATATATACAGAGATAAAGATATAATAATATATATTGAAACCCTCAACAAATGAGAACAGAAAAATATTATTATCTCGTTGTTGTTGTTGTTGTTTTTTTCTAGATCGGTTTTGATTTTTTTTCTATCGTTTCCTTTCCTCCGCCCTTACTTCACTCTTTTTTTTTTTTTGGTTAATTTCTTTTTTTTTCCTTTTTCTGTGTTTGTATGTGTATTCCTTACGATACTTCGCTGATAATACCAACCGTGGAATACTTGCGGAGAGTAGTACAGTGCCCAGAAGAAGTAAGACCACAGTCGGAAGTACCTTCTGGATCCTACTTACTTGCCCCCCTCAAAAACTGTTTCCAGAAAGCAAAACAAAGAAGAAAAAAGAAAGAAAAAAAAAACAAATAATAACAAGAAAAAGGAATATTAAGGCTTATAAAGAAATAGAATGAAAAAAAATAAAAATAAAAACAAAGAAATAATATTATACATAATAGATTGATTGGAGTCAATAAGTGAAGTGTATAGTAGAGACATAAATATGATCCCATGTATTTTTAACGTTGTTGTTGTTTTTTGTTTTTTTTTGGTTTTTTGGTTCTGTACTTAATTTTTTTTTTTTTTTCTTTCCATTTCTTTTTTTTTTTTCTTACGAACTCCCATTAGGGGGTTTTGCCATATTCATGCAATGCATGAGTTTTTCCCGCCACTCTCGTTGAAAGTCTTCATCGCCTTGCATCAGTTCTGGGCACATAAATTCAAGTGGTACTCCACGTTTCATTATACTTTCGGTAGTGCAGGCTAGGTCACTGCGCTCAGATGCGATAACAAAATACCGTTTTTTCTCTTTTTCCGAGTTCTCTGCATTATTACCCTTTACATAATACCGTTCTCGCCAGATTTCAACATATTGATTCCAGTTCGTAATATCACGAAAGAGACGAAAAAAACTAACAGAATCGTACAATTTTTCCTCATCTTCTTCTTCATCCTCCCTATTATCCTTGTCACTTTCTGTATCACTTATGTCTTCATCGGTGTTGCTACCGTTGACTGCTGCATCTTCTTCCTTGATGAAAGGAAAGAGAAACTTAGAATCTTTTACCTTGTCATGAGAAAAAAACTTTACTTTTGCGCTTAGTAGATGAAGCGGTAACGATAGATTCTCAAATAGTATGTCTACTGAAAGCAATACAAAGCATGACTCTATAATAGATTCTTTATTTAAACAATTTAATGAACCCAAACGCCGAAGCAAAGCCCCTTGTAGTTGTGCATCTGTTTCAAGTGCCTTTTCTAATATCTTGGCCTCTTCCACATGATGCATCACAAGAGCATAGTTCTCATTATGTGTATGTTCATCCCATTCCATTAGTTTGGGGATACAGATATCTGTTGCACGCTGACTTATTCCAGCGAACCTATTTTGTTCCCAAACCTCTGCAAATATCTTCTTACCACCTTCCACTAAATGCAGACGATATGGCATAAATACACGGAACTCTTTCACAGGATCACCTCCCAATGCCCTCGCAAGTGTCACCTCCACACATCCTCTTGCCGTTCCTGTTGTTGCTGATGGTGCTACTACTGTTGATGCCTCATGAGAACCCTCACAATTTTCATTCATCTTATAATGTAGTTGGTGGTGTATATCATGCAAGAACTTGGACGAATTACGCATCGCGATAAACACTTCCCTCGGTGAGTACAATGTTGGGGTTCGCGAGGAAACCGCCCATCCACAGTCGTCCGCTACAACGTACCGTCCACACAACACCACCCCGCACCCATCACCACCCACCTCAGCAATGGCCTCCATCACCCACTGCACTACTTCATTGAAAGAAGGTGTGGAAGCGGAAGATGCACCATTGTGAGTACTCCCAGTGTTATTCGTATCTTCTCCCTCACGTGTCCAGACATCCTCGCCAACGTACGTCTCGTACGCCTCCGCCGGCTGCGCAGTGACGTTCAGCGCCGGGTGCTGCGGGAGCCGCGTGTCGTCGGAGTCAAGATAGTGCACAAAGGGGTGGGTGAAGTCGAGACGCAGCGTGCGATGCGGTACCTCGTGGCGCGGTGTGAGTGCGGCGGTGAACACGCATGAGAGGGGAATGCGGAGATCCATCACACACAGGCAAATAGAGAGAGAGAAACAAGTCAATAAACAAAAAACAAAATAAGTCAAGACGCCCCAACCGCCCGCTCGCAGTGGCTTATAATATTTGTAATAATGTCAAACCGTGCGTGTGATGGCGGCAGAAAATAAATAATAATAATAAAAAAAAAAAAAAAAAAAGAGAGAGAGAGAGAGAGAGAGAAAAAAAAACTCAGTAGAAGAGAAGGTGAACCATCAAAAAGAAAAAAAAACATTTCTTTTTGTTTTTTTTTTGTTGTTATTTTCACTTCTATTTTTATTATTTGAGGTGTAATATAAAGAAAAAAAAAAAACGCAAAAGAAAAAAAGCACCTGCCAAAAAAAAGGGAAGTATATATTACTGGTGTATTTGAATTTGTCCCTTCACATCAGCAAGGTCTAGCTTCAAAATTCATCTATGTACGAAAATATTCTATACCAGAGAGAAAGTGGGGTTGTAAGCCTCCAAATATAGAAAAGGTAGAACCAATATAAATACGTAAAAGAAAAGATAGCAAAAAAAACTAACAAAAAAAAAAGAATTTGAACTAGAAATGTCGCGCTAGAAAATCTTCATACAGCGCAATTTTTTCCCCCATCTCCCTCAAAAGAGTATCACCTTCACTGTAAACACCAGAATCAAGCAGTTTCTGTTTATTTGCACGAAGCTTTTCAACAAATGCTATCATTTCAGCTCTTGTAGACTCTCGTGAAGGAGGTGGTGGGAGAGCTCTTGATGCTTGTACAAAGTCTTCTGGTAAGGGAGGAGGTGGTTGCAGTTTTGTGTCATACGAAACATCAAGGACAGACGTAGCTCCAGAAGTAGCTCCAGTTGGGGCAAGTGGCGGCAATTGGTCTACTGCTCCTTCTGATCCCACTATGTTTTTAGGTAAAACATTTCGTTCCTCCTCTTCAGTAAGACATGACTCTATCTCAGCGTAACAATAGGATGATGAAACATCTATTTCATCATCACCTTCCATTACTTCATGTTGCAGTGGACGTTCTTCTAAGGGACTTCTATACGGTTCGGTGGGTTCACGACGAAAATCAACTTCACGATGTGACAAGGATGATAATGTTGGGCTAGTAATATCATCAGTTGAAATAGCAATAGAAACCGCTTCATGCGCTCCATTACCCATAGGTTGTTGTATCGCTTCTCTTTTTCTTGTTGTTGCTGTTCCTTTTTTTCTTCTTCTTCGTGCCTCATCTTCTATATTGCGGGAAATAGTCCTTCCTTTATCTTTTTGTGGATTTACTTCGGCGTAAACTAATCGTTGTTTAGGTTTGGTAGTAACCTTATTTCCCTTGGTGTTCATATCACCTAATTCCTTTGCTACTTCACTCTGTAGCTCTTTTAATAATGTTCGGTAGTCATCTTTATATCCAGTAGGTGTTAAGGAAATTTCTCTTGTAGCCTTGGTAACAAGATTTTCTGCAGCCTGTTGACTGAGTAATTCATACCGGTGTACAGTTCTTCCCTCATTACCCAAATGGAAAGAGGCAAGTTGGTGACGTCGTTTGTCCTCCTCTAATCGGCGCCGTTCCTCCTCCAGCAACGCCTGCTCACGACTGTGCCACTGCTCTTGTAGTTCCCCATAGCGCTGAGTGAGTTGTGTTAATTGATCCTTATAAAGTTTAGATGTCTCTACGAGTTGGTCACGTTCCTTCTGTACTGACATCAACTCTGACTCACGTTCCTTTAACCGCAGTTGCAGCTTCATTACCGCCGCGTTTGCTGTTGCCAGTTGTTCCTCCAAGACCCTAACTCGTGCTTTATCCTCATCCTCAGTCAAATTTCGCGCCAAGCAACGCTGTAGTGAGTCATACTCACTCTCCACCGCACGCCGTCTCTCCTCTAGATGTGCCACAGTCCGCTCCCGCTCCCGCAGCTGCGCGCGGAGTTCCTCCTGCTGCACCGCCGCCTCCTCCAACTGCCGCCTGGCGCGGGCCTCGACGGCGAGGAGGTGCCGCTCGTGCTGCTCCGCCACCCGCACCCGCCGTCCGTCGGCCGCCGCCTCCCGCGCCTCGAAGGCCGCCACCCGCCGCTGCAGCGCTTCCTCCCGCCGCCGCAGACGCCCGGCGAGGGCGACCAACTCCGCCCGCAGTCCCTCCAACTCCGACAGCTCCTCCCGACTCTTTTCTTTCTTTTTCACTTTTTCCTTCTCTCGCCGCTCCTCCGACATCTCCTCCCGCAGACGCGCCCGCTGCTGCGCCTTCCACACCTCCAAATCAAACGCCGCTGCGTACTCCTCCGTGCCTCGAAAGGCTGCCACCGCCGACAAGACGTCCGCCATCTCTGTCTCCATGTCCCTTGTTGGTCTTAAGCACCTCCGTGGGGTGGGGGAAAGTTTCTCTCTCTCTCTCTCTCTCTCTCTCTCTCTCTCTTCACTGGTATGCACCTTGTACTCCTTTACCTGTATGTGTATGTGTTCCCTTTTTCCTTCTCTCTCCTGTACCACGGCTGTCCCACTCGGCACAGAGACAAAAAAAAATAATAAGAATAAATGAAAAAGGAATATTAGGTACGATTAACAAAGAAAGAAAAAAATAACTACAACCCTCACCAGAAATTGGTTATGTAGTTAACCATTTAAAACAACTCAGCAATAATTTAAAAAAAAAACACTAGAAGAAAAAATAGGTCAATGCGTAGTAAGACTAAAAAAAAAATAAAAAATAAAGAAAATAAAAAAAAAACTTCTCTAGGCTACTCAAACTCACATCATCCCGAACACTAAACCCCATCTACCCTTTTACATGTCCACCCAATTTTTTTTGTTCTCTTTCATACCCTGTCTCTCCCTATCTCTATCTCCCTCTACCCCTCGCTTTTTTTTTTTTCTTTCATACCCTTTCTATATTCATCAATTGAAGACTGTAAAAGGAAACTCGTTAAACACAGACGTGACAAGAAGAAATAGGAGAGAGATCCATAAACTTGTCAATTTAACTATCAAATACACTAACACGCAATCCTATCACTTTCCAATGTCATTACTAACATCACCCAAAGCTACATATTTTACACTTTTTTTTCATATATTTAAAAGTAACCTATAGTCCAATTATAACTGAACAATGGTCCTCCATATTTTGCGTATGGGTGCATGAGAACATCATGTAATGGCGGACGCCATACATCATCGTGGTAGAAGAATTTACGGAACTCAGATGTAAGACCTACAAATCCCTTATCTATAAGATTTTCCTGTTCATAACGGTGTCGTTTGTAGCTGGTTATGAGACAACGAAGATTTACCTCAGCTTTCTGATATGGAAGATGAGCAGCCTGTCTCTCTGACCATTCAATCATCATCTCCATATTATATCGTTCCCTTTCTGGTCTACACCATGCACCAAAAATAGATATTCCTGCTATAGCTGCCATTACAGTACGTCCTGTAAACCACCTCTTTCCGTATACAGGATAAACACGTACCGCAGGGTAACCTCCAGGGATCACACGTTCCTGACGGTATGCCTGTCCACTAAACCATGAGTAAAAAGCCTTGGTATCAGTTGGTACAGGATCACGCACTAGACGAAGCTGAGTCTGTCGCAGCATCTTAGTTTAGCAAAAATATATGTATATATATGTATATACACTTCCACTTTATAACCTATATTATGTAAAAAAAATATCTACCTATTTCCCTTATTTTCTTTTTTTTTCCGTCTTAAGGTTACGGTTCTCCCCTTTCAATCGGGTTTCTACCAAAGAGAATCCACAGAAGAGAATCAACAATAATAAAAGTAACAAGTACCAAAAAAGTACTCTACTCACACACGAAAACACACCAGTAAAAATCTTCCAAAAAAAAAAAAAAGGGGGTTCTGAACACTTCCCCACCAGTCTCAGAAGCAACTCTAATTCACTTACATATGAATAGAAAAAAGTTTATGCAGTATATTTGTAATGTGAATGTAACATCGTTCAAGGTGAAAATAACAACGAGAACAACAATAATAATAATAACGAAAAAAAAGTGGAAATCCCTCTTATTTTTCACTGTTGTGCACATCCATTGTCATCAGTTCCTACACGTTTCGCTGGTAGTGCGGCCCTTTCTTTTTTGGCCGCAGCCTCTGCTGCCAACACTGAGAGATGTTTTTTGTATCGAATTATCAACGTATTGTGTTGTACATCATAGCTAAGATGAGATGGATCAAGTGGGATGTGGTGACGCTGAAGAACAGGTATATTCAATCTTTTGAAATACTTTTTATTACTCGTACGTACTACTATTTCACCAATATCATCAGAGTTACGACGTTCCACTGTAACCGAAAATACCTCTTTGGGGTAAGGTAGATTTCGAATACGGAAAACATGATACTCAGGTGTATCCTGCTTTACAAGTTCTGGGCTTCCACTCGCTTCCACCAGTATTTCTTTATCTAAGTTTCGCGTTTTTGCCTCACTTCCAACTTCTATTTCCCAATCGCTATAGTTTCCTAGAGCATTTTTCGTTCGGTATTTCCTCAAAAGAAGATCATCCGTGATAATGTCGTATTCTTCTATCATCTCACTCCCATCGGTAAATTTGGAGGTGATGCGTTTCCTCTCATTTAGGATAACAGAAGTTTTGGGTTCTGCGAGAGAAGTATTCATTTTATTTTTTTCGTTTATTCTATTCGTTTCTTTTTTTTTTTTTTCTTTTCTATTTTCTTTTGTGTCGTAGAATTTATAGAGAAAAGCAATGAATATCTCAGAGAATAGTTTTCATCTCTTCACAAAAAAAAACATTATATATATATATGGGATTATTCTTTTCCAGTTTCTTTTTTTTTTCTCTTTTACACTTCGTTCCTTTTGCCTGTTTATATTTGGTTATTATTAGACGATTTAGTGTAACCCCCTTTTTTTTTTCGCCATGACGGGATTAAAGGGGATCATCCCCCGCCTTCCTTCCAATAGGCATACACACACGCAAGCGGTATTCCTTGCCTTGGTTGAAACCTTCAAAACAGTGACGAAGAAGAAGAACAACGACAAAACAAAAAAGCTTCAAGATCAAATAAAAAAGAAAAAAGGCGCAAAAGAAAACTACGATTCTTCTTTTATTTTTTCCAACGATGTTCCATGCATACAATCGTCAAAGCTTTTCATGGTTTGATCGCAAATAACTGCAAGGCGTTCAAGTCCTTCAGCAACAGCCTCTACAGCGTAATCAGTAGATTGAACATGCAGAAGCATCTTAGCTTCCAAAGGATGTGGAATGGCGTAACCGGCACTTGTTACTTCTGGATTTTGCATTAGTACATGCCGTAACGGATTTCCCAATGTGTGATCTTCATGTGAGAAGGTAATTGTAGCTGTAGACTCCGTATCGGTCAATCGTTGCAAATCTATGTGAACCTTTTGTTCAGCAGAAGTGTCCACTTCGTCACCTTCATTCTGCCTTTGTATTTGCTCCTGATGCAGAATAAAGGCGTCTCTGGGGTGAAATGCCATGATCTAGTTAGAACTCATGGAAACAAAAAAAAAAAAATAATAATAAGAAAAAAAAAGTAATTAAAGGAAACCATCACATAATCTAAACATAAAACTGTAACCATTATTAATTAGTATTATCATTATTATTATTTATACTTGCTGTTGTTCTTTTACTTTGGAAGGTTTTCTTTCCATTTCATGATTTTTTTTCTTTTTTTTTTATTGCCGTTTCCAAAAAAATCCCCTCACCTTTTTATTCGAATGATATATCGCATTCTTATGGTTTAAAGGATCACTCAAATTATGCTGCGCTAAATTTCAATAATATGTTCTTCTTTTTGTTGAAGAATAAAATACCAAAATATCAGGAATCTGTATTTATAATAATTAATCACAAACACGCATATAAGCTATTTGACCAGATGCAGCACGAAAGAGGCGATCTTCCACTGCCTCCAAGAGTTCTACTTCCGTGACAGCATGAGGCCATTCGGATATTAACGGGAACAAAACCATCTTTGCTCCCAAGACTGTTTCAGACCATCGTAGGGCTTCAAATACGGCGAAGCATGCTTCTCGTACTTCAGCTTGACTGCTAAGATCTCGATACGCCAGACATCCTTCATGAAAATCCCGAAGATGACCTCCAAAGTCAATAATCACTGTTTTTCTGAGTGGAATTTCTTTTGTATCAGATGAATTTAATGAGAGTTGCACATATATTTTTTCAAGATTTTGTGGAACACCTGTGGTTAAACTACTTGGGGTTAACAGTCTAGAAGGTACACTGGGTGAATAATGGGTAAGTAGTTGACCTGGCCCATCCATAGCCACCTCAGATGAGAGATGACGTGAACGAGTATCACGAATCGTTATAGTTGGAGTAAATTTATTATTAATAGCTTTTTGCACATCAGTTAGTGAAACTTTTCCACGGCGAAGAATTTCAACACTTTCAATATTGTTTACTTTTACTACAGTAGATTCAATGCCAATATCACAATGACCACCATCAATAATAAGCAATGAAGAATCTTTTTCTCCCAAATCCCCAAAGACATGTTCAGCAGTTGTCGGGCTAACGTGACCAAATGTATTGGCACTAGGAGCTGCCACAGGAAAATCCACAAGTTTTAACAATTGAAGAGCAATAGGATGGCACGGTATTCTCACCCCAACAAATCCAGATCCTCCACTAACCGCATTCGGTAGTGAGGGATTAGCTTTAAAAACAATGGTTAAAGGACCAGGCCAAATCGCTTCACCTAAACATTTTACCAATTCGAGAGACTTTGGATCTGAATTCACATCCCATAATTCTAGTGCTTTCTCCATACTGGAAACATGACAAATAAGAGGATCAGTTAATGGTCGTCCCTTTACCGCGAATATTTTTTTCACTGATTCTTCATTTAAAGCATTGCCTCCAAGTCCATATACCGTTTCTGTGGGAAGAGCGACAAGGTTTCCACACTTTAGTGCTTCAGCGGCAGCGTCCAAGCAGGACGCGCTGATAATCTTCGCCATCCTACGGCAAAAGGAAAAATATATATATATATAAGGTTAAAATAAAACAAGTTATCTGTGTAGACTAAAAAAAAGGCAAGTCTCTTCCAAAATAAAATTACAAAAAAAAAAAAAGGAAAAGAAGAAATAAATAAATCACAGTTTATGAGAGTTAACTCTTTTTCCTCATTTTTATTTCCATAGTATTTGTAAAGAATATTCATGCAGCTCGTTCAGAGGTGCATTACACTCCATTGTCATTATTTTTTTTTCTTCTTTTTCTTCTTTCTTTGGTTTCATCGCTTGTCTTCCTTGTTTACTTCTATCCGCACTACTAAAGGAACTTTGTACTGGTCGTTTTTTTTTTTTTTTTCTAAATTACCAAAAACAAAACAGCATATGTGAATAAAATGTGAAACTCGTTAAAAATAAGAGACAAACAAAATCCCACGCAGACATACACACAAACAGAAAGAGACACAAATCTCTCTCCTACTATAACGCTGCAACACCCATAGGGGGAGAAAAAAAAAGGAAAAATAGTAGAAAGAGAAATACTTTTTTTTTTCTTTTTTCTTTTTGCTTTTTATTTTTTTTTTTTTACCAACCACTATCCTGTGACGAAGTAGTATTGCTAGACCAACTTCGTCGCTTGTTATCTCGTCCATATCGACCATTCCGCGATCGCTTAAAACGACGTTCTTCTTCGATTTTGATATATTTTTCAGAAATCTGAACAAGTCTTTCTGGAACTTCCATTCCACATTTTTGTAAGTAATCCACAAGGTCTTTTGCTAAAGATCCATCTGATCTACCAATAAAGGTAAAAGAATCTCCAGATCGTCCAGCTCTTCCTGTACGTCCAATTCGATGACAATAACTGTCAATATTTTTTGGTGCAAATAAATTTACTACACATGTCACATCAGGAAAATCAATTCCTCGAGATGCAACATCAGTAGCTATGAGTATACGAATTCGGTTAGTTTTAAAATTATGCATAATATAGTCCCTCTGACGCTGTGGCATTCCACCATGAATTACACCGACATTTCTAGAATGAATACCCAACATTCGTGCAAGCATTTGTGCAGCATTATCTGTATCAGTTTGACGCTCCACAAATATCATCATTTTAGCTGTATTTTCATCAATTGTTCCTTTTTGAATAAGTGAAACAAGAGTTTCTAAACGTTCTTGTGGAGAATCTCCAAAAAATATATGTTGTTTAATATTTTCATTTACTTGTAATCCAGTACCAGCTGTACCTGCTCTGATTGTATAACGATTTTCTGAAAGATAGTCACGTGCCAAATCTTCAACAGATTTAGGCCATGTGGCTGACCACATCATAGTTTGAACAGGTCGTGATGGATCAGCATAACTTAATATTTCATCCAATTGAATTTTAAATCCCATATCAAGTAATCGATCTGCTTCGTCAAAAACCAAGAATGACATATGATCAAGCGTTACATCACCATTTTGAAGAAAATCTTTTAAACGTCCTGGACATGCTATTAGTGCATCACAACCATTATGTAATCGTCTGGCTTGAATCTCTCTTGGTGCACCTCCATAAGCCTCACAAACTCGAACATTTCCAGAACTCAGTTGATAAAATACCTTTGCCGTTTGCTGAACAAGTTCTCGAGTTGGGGCGAGAACAACTATTGTTGGTAACCCAGAAGGACTACGTTTAAATCGTTTTAATGCTGGTACCGCAAAGGCCACAGTTTTCCCAGATCCAGTTGGAGCTAATCCAATAAGATCATGTCCTTCATCAAGAACAGGAATTGTATGAGCTTGAATAGGAGTTGTAGATGGGTAAGCCAATGTTTCAAGTCCTTTCGTTAACCAATCAGGTGAATTAGACAAGTCTGCAAAACATTGAACAGGTTTCACAGGGACGATATTTCCTTTGGCATCAAGGACAGAAACATCCAATTCAACCTTTTTAGGTTTATCAACTGAAGATATAACAGTAGAAATACTTTCATTCTGGTGTACCTCATTTCTTTTTGAAGAGAAACCATCAGGTTTATTAAATACAGAAGAAACATCCAATGTATTCCATTCATCTGTATCCCTCTCTTTCTCTGTCCAGGCAGTGGGCGATCCTACCAGGGAAACAGATGTAGTCGAAAAAAGACGCATAGGATATGTGATTATCACGGGAGACCACGGCCATTTACATGTGGCACACACTCTTTTAATGCACCTTAAACTTCTCATCTTTTCTTTTATTACTTCTCACACACACACTCTCTCTCTCTCTTTTTTTTCTTCTTTTTTTCTCCCACTCTCTTCCTACCTAAATCTTATACACTGAAATAGAAAAAAAGAAAAAATGGAGAAAGGTGGAAAAGGTAGATCCAATTTTTATTCTATTAATACATTGTTTTTTTTTTTTTTTTTATCATCTATTTATTTTTCCTTCTAGAACTGATATAGATATTTTTACCATATTCATATATCACTTGAGTACGATGTAAGAAAAAGAAAAAAAAAGTCTAGCTATATATGACTTTCAGAGGTCATTTTTTCGGTCACCCCTTACTTAACCTCACTTTACGAAACATGTTGAGCTGCAGAAAACCTGTAAGATGCTGCAAGCATCACCCAAACAGACAAAATACCTTCAGGAAATACGTAAACCTTTACTTGAACAGCTAGCGTAACACTATCCGCTGTTAACTCCAAAATCTCTCTTCCAGAAACAGTACTCTCAAATGCTGCAAGTATTTTACGACTGTTTAAATGAGTTACATTAACAGGCACACCTTTGAAAGTTCTACCCTCACCTAGGATGCCTTTTACACATGTCTCAAAAATTGACAAATCCTCTGGGGTACCATTCCTCCGGTAACTTTCATAAGCACAAAGAGCTTGTGAAAGAACATAAGAAAGATTATCGTCAAATTTTGTGGTAATCCCACGGGTGTCACGATATTCAGTTATTTCACGAATCAAAGAAGTTTGTAATTGATCCTCTGTGTTTTTGGGGTCACAAGAAACCCATAAAAGTGGTGGATTAGGATACTTTGGAAGCATTCGAAGTTTTAATGGATTTAATGGTTTCCATAATTCTTCATTATCAAGATCAAAAGAAGTCGTAACAACAACATCTGATTGTTGAATATTAGCATAAAAAGAACGATGGTTAAACATACATCCAATAGTTTCATAAGGATGTGCATCTGTTAATGAAAATCGGTCTCCAGTTGTAGGTTCCCAAAACATAACATCAAAACCACTTGATCCCATACGTTTACGAGAAACCACAAACATCACCGTTTTTCCTTTTTTATTAGTTCCGACAGCACAGTATACGTCAAGACCAAATCCAAGAAGTAAAGAACATAAAAGTGCAGCATGATTACAAGGTTCTCCTCGTTTCTGTGAAAGGAAAACAAACATTGAAAGCCAAGAATTAGTTGATTTATTACCTCCTGTTCCTCCAAGAAGAACTTCTTGTGTTAAATGTTCTTCATCTGTTACTGCAAAAAGAGAAACAAATCTTGCTGCTTCAAAAGGTGTTTCAATTCCTCTTTCACATCTAATAACAGAAATAAAATGAGTAGTTGGAACCATCCTTCCATTTGATGTAGATGCAAAAACTTTTACCCTTCGTTGTTTATGACTAGGTCGAATTTCTTGAAATTCCATCCACCATCGACGTGCGTAAAGAAGAAACTCACGATCTGCAGAAGTAATAGCAGACCGTTGTAAGTCAATTCTTGAAGCAATATCTTCTTCAGAAAACCGAGGTGCTTTATTTGGAAGTAATTCTATTTGTAATTCTAATATTCCTGCAGGAATACCAGGATTATCTCCACAAAGTTCTACGGTTAAACCAAGATAACCGGTACGCAATACTTTTCTCCAATCAATAATATTTTCACCAATCACTTTAGCATTTGTTAATAAACGATCTTCTCTTACAACACATACATGAAGTGGTGTTGAAACTTCTATTAAATCTGCTGCACATGAACCAAATGATTTATAATCAAGTCCTATAAGAAATTCATCTTTAAAAGGAGGATCTACAGAAGTATTCTCAGCAATAGATCGATATCGCTGAGATCCAAAATGTAATACAACATACATTTGGTATTCTTTAGCAACACTTGGACTTAAATCAAGATTATCTACAAAAGCCTTTCCTCCTGCTAACCTCACATGAAGATAATATTCACCTGGAACAAGCTTCCATGAATGGTTCACATTAGTATTTTGTGTTAGTCCAAGACGTTTCTCAGTATGTAACCGATTTAATAAATCTTGAACCAAACCTTTCTCCCGAACTATTTTCATTACATCAGAAGAAGAAGTTGGATTAAAAGAATCCCCTGGATTCTCGGCAACATATGAATCGACAATATCACGAATTTTAGAATAAACACTTGAATCCTGAAGAAAAGCATGAACTGAGTCACGTATCTGCTTTAAGCGTTCATTACTAACATTGGAAAGATCTTCTGCCATTCACACAAAGACAAAAACCTTCCTCTCCTTTGAAGGATAAAAAAAAAAAAAACAATTAACAGGTGGGAGGTGGGGAAAGAAGAGAAGAGAAGAAAAAGAAAAAGAGAACTTAAACATAATGAGTGACATTCTGATAGGGATACAATGATAATGATAATAATAAGAATAATGTTTATAGATATCATCTACAAGTGTATGTATTACATCAGTATGATATTGCTACAAACTAGAAAGCAACAATGGACTACTCAGATTTCATCACCTTCGTTCTTAAGTCTAGCATAAAAAAAAATCCCGCTGCAAACCATAAGAAGCACACCCTGAATGACAAGAGAAACACCAGGCCATGAATTGTTCACCTGCGAGTACGGCTCTATTGCTTTCCAAAGCGCCACTGCCAAACCCCCAAGCATCAACAATGCGGCAATAAAGAAAAAAATTTTTGCCCGTTGTGTGTTACTATCCTCAAACGAATAATCAACGTCAGCAATAACCTTTGCGTCCACAAAACTAAGAACAAACATACCACAAAAAATCATGATAGAAGGTAGCCACATCAAGAAATTGAACGGGACCCCAATCTGTTTCGCCGTAATACATCCATCAACAAAGGCGAAGCACGAAAGAGAAAATATTGCTCCAGCAGCAAAATGAAGCATTGAGTGCATACTTTCACCTTTTTCTCTTCAAGAGAGCTAAGATTTAAGAACTTGTAAAATGTAATATCAAATAAGACTTCTTCTTCTTATCATCATCATCATCATCATCAAGAACAAGAAAGGAATAAAGCATTGCATAATCATAGACGCGCAGAAACAAACAAACAAAAAAAAAAAAGTAACTGAAGGAAATCAATCTTAAAAGTAATATCAATAGAGTAGCTAGATCCACTTATACTCTACCTTATTGAGAGGACGAAACAACGAAGAGAAGCCATTCAAAAATAAAAATAAAACTAAAACTAATCTAAAAGGTTCATTGTAGCAGAAACATCACATGAGTCAAAAAACTCCTTCAAACCAACGGGATCATCGGACATAATACCGTTTACTTCCCAGTTAGAAGCCTCTTCAAACTCCTCGTAATCGTTTAAAACCCAACCAATAACGAGAATGCCCCTACGCTGCAGATGATCCCAAAGAGTCGTTGAATTTAAAAAATAGGCGATGAAGCGTAAAAAGGGAGATCCAAGTTCCTTTTTCCTTAGTTTTGTAAAAAAAGGAATAGAGAAAACATCAAAATCCAAAGGAATAAGAGGAAGTATACCAAGAAAATATGCCACTTGTACGATAAAGTAATCCATTGGTCCCGCAAAAATACGAAACCTCTTTCTCTTTTCCTTAAGGATTTCATCATCTCCAGAATGAACACTTTTAAAATATGAATAAAGGTTTTTCCTATTACGTATATTACTAGTACCGACAAAAGTTCGGGTTTCTCGCCGGTAATCCTCAATCATTTTCAAAACGCGCCTCGTAAACTCAGCGTCCTCAGACTTTATGTCTATATGAAGAGGAAGATTTGGAAAGGCGTCAAAGACTTCAGAAAGCAAACAAACCCTAGTAGTATCATCGACAGGTACAGAATCGGTAGCAACATAATAGTCACCTTTTTGAAATGATTTAAAATGCAAAGGTATTTTTCTCAAACACTGAGGTAATGTAATACTTGGATTTTCACCTACTACAATATCTTCAATATTTTTTCCACCAACCAAAGAACCACAGGTTCTTGTAAGATCTGAGTCATGACAAACGACAATTTGACCATCCTTTGATGGGTGAACATCCAATTCCAAGACATCAGCTTTACATTCAAAAACCGCACGACGAAAAGCATACATAGTATTCTCTGGACCCATCAAGCATCCTCCTCTATGTGCTATTTTGGTTGTAGAATATGGAAACCGCTGTTTTAAAAGTTCCTTCTTTTCTCTTTTGCTTAACCGAAATGGGTACAAACGAACTAGAAGAACTGCCGCAACAATGTAGCCTCCCACACAAGCTAGAGCGATAACTCCATTACACACCATTAAATCAACAATATAATTGCTCTTTTCATAAAATACAGAATACAAAGGAAAAGAGAAGGAAAAAAAAAAATGATGTCACCCCTCTAGTTTTTTCAAATTCTTTGAATCCGCTGTGGGTAAAGGAAAAGACAATCACAGAATTTGGTCACAACATTAATTCATACAGTGAATACCCCAACAGTATTTCTACAAATTAATACTCATAACACCCTAGAAATAGTAACACATTCGAGGGTACAAGGGAAACTATCTAGACCCTCTATTACTGGAGTAACCCAAACTCAGGACCACACACCACTACCTCTAAAAAACCCAAAAAGAATTTTGTTTATCCAGTTTGTCCACCCTCCAATATTAAGAACAGGTATTAAAACCACAACATTTTTGCACTCGTACAAAAAAAAAAAAAAAAACTGAAGAACGTGAAAAAAAGTGGAAAATAAAACATTAGTTTTGCTTTTCACATACCTTTACCTCTCATATAACTCTTAGAGTTGCCCCAACATATCCCAAGTACCTCCAGAGAAAACAAGTTTTCCAGCTGAGTAATTTGAGGATATGAACATTGGTAAAGCATCTCAGCTGACTTTAAAACCCTACAGAAGTGATGTCAACCTATCATTTGGGAAAACAAATAAACGTGAAGGATTAAAAAAAAAAAAAAACAGGTGTAAAAAGACGGCAAGCACGCCATAACACCTCGAAATAAGGACAAAAGAAAAATATATTTGGAAACACAACATCACACTCAAAAAGTAACAAAACCATTAAACGAATGCAACTAATATAGCGGTAAATTGGACCACCCATCCTTCACGTACTCAACTTCGAATACCTTTATAAGGCGAGAAAATCTTCGCCAGCCCCGAGGAATCAAGACGATATAAAAAAATAAAAAACACCACACCCCCAACCAAATACGAACACAGGCCCGGCAACCGCACCAAAGATTCAGGCGACAGCAGATCCACAACGAAACGGGATTAAACCACGCGACCATCCCCGAACCCAATCGCCTGAACGCGGTCACCCGAAAAAAAATACAGGCGGGCGACCCCCGGCGCGGGGATTGGAGAAAGAAGGCCCCCCGGTCAAAACCACGAAAGGCGACCCGCCACCCCACTTTTTTTTTTTTTTCCCCGCCGGCTTCCCGGGGCCCTTTTCGAAACGAGATGCCCGGCCTTTCCCCCGGCGGCCCCTTTGCCCCCCTCCCCCCGCCCCCTCGGGGCCCCAAGACAACCCCCGCCGCCCTCGGGGCAATCGAAGAAAAAAACCCCGGCCGGTCGTTTTTTTTTTTTCCGTTTTCCAGAACCCAAACCCCACTTCGCGGCCCGGCGCCGCGCCAAAGAAAAAAAACCGGAAGCCGGCGGGGCCCGAAAAACGCCGCAAAAACTCTGGGGACGCCGCCTTTTCCCGTGGCGCCGGAAATTTCCGTGCCCACGCGGCTCGCTAAAAAGATCCTGGGGGCAAAAGGATATCTCTTATCTGATTTTTGTTGGCAGAAGAAATCGTATATGGCGCGCCTTCCCACGCACTTCCTGCAATCTTAACCTCCAGAAGATATTTGAACAGGAACACACTTCAACTGTACATGGGTGAGCCCTCACAACCAATACAGCAGCAGTTAGCAACTTTAATAGTGAACGGAGAGGGCCGTTCCCCAATAAGGGTTTAAGCCATTCTCTTCTCTTGGCATTGCGGTGTGTGTGGTGCAAACTCTATCCAACCTTGAGGTCCCAACGTCCCACGGTCAAGGGTTGACCATCGTCGATGCATCAATTTTACGAAAAGATAATATAGGAAAATGGGTATTCCTTTCCCACACCCAAATGGCGCACATCATGTGCAATGCAGCGTTGCTTTCCTTACCCTTTCGCCGTGGATAATTAAAAATAAAATGGCCCTACTCTAGTGCTGACATATTCTTTTTACCTCAAAGAGAGAGTCTGTGATTCACGATTGGACAGCACCCCGATAAAATCGTACATCTCGCTAAACGTCTGTTGTTCTTCTCCAGCTGTGGTATCACATTATTATATTCTCCAAAAAAAAACACTCACTTTTCCCACATCCCCGTCCTTTACTTTGGCCCAGCGATGCGGACATTATCAATCTAACCATGAACATCCAATTTTGAAGTAGCGGTGGACCACAGTTTAATGAACTCAGGACATACGGGCAAACACCTTGTAATAGTGTAGACAATTTCCGAACTACGGTTGCAAACTATGGGGAAAGGAAAAACCTTCATGAAACTACTCGATTTTTGCTCAGCAGCAAAAACCTGCCTTTACCCCCTTCCGCAACGTTACCTGGAAGGAGCCTTTAAGTTAATTAAAGTCGCTGATTTATCATAAACTGCACTGAGATATTCGGAAATGTAATCCAACGGAACGTCAATATGGTAATCTTCTTGATCGTTCTTTGCTTTCGGCCACGCAGTGAAACGCCGTTTCTGCCCTGACGGTTGGTTTTCCACCACTGTGAAAGGTAGTACCCATCCGATTGTAGGGTGTTCTGAAGCTTCTCGAATAACACCTGCCCTTTTCAAAAGTACTGCATCTTTTTCTTTAATGCGCAAATGTGGTTCCCCTTTCTCTTCGTTGGGAGCGGCAGGTCGCCGCATGATGTTCCACACTCTGTTGAAATAGTCTTGCGCTTCTCTTTTCCAGTCGCCGCCTAATCCACTTAAGAGATAGAGGGTCTACATCAACTTGTTGTAAGAGGAAAAGATCATCTTCCCCTTTAGATAGTAAAGGGGTGCAATGTTTTCGTTTAAAAAAGGTCACGCCCCTGAAAAGAAAGGAGATATCCCATCTTTCTTCGACTTTGGTAGTGCCCATGGTAATGTGGCTCATTTTTGGAATTTTTTTTTTACACCAACGTTATCAACTGCTCTTACTCCTCTACAATTGCGGCTCAATGCCTTAGATAGCGTATCGTGCCTCGAGGGGGTTCTATTGTTTTCACTTATATTCTCAATAGACTTAACGAATGTGGATCGAGATCGTGATCGATAATTACCTCTGCCACGCGAACGGCCTCTCCTTTTTTCACCCAAATCAGAGTTATACCTTAAGAGTTGAACATTTTTTCTTCCATTGGAGTTTCGCCGTGCGTTCCTGCCCGTCATTTTCTGTAACACCGCCCTTTCCTCAAGATAATGGAGATATTGAGTCCTTATTTATCTTATGAGAGCTTTGGGAAAAGCGTCCATTCTAGGTTTGAGCCCGAACGGAGGCTTCATGCAAATTTTAGAAGCGCGCCCCCAGATTGCCAGAGAGCGATTGTATAATACCTAATTGTGTGCAAAATCGGGTATCTTCAACTTTGTTATAATAGGGAAAAGGCTCCAAAAGAGAAATAACGCAGGCCCGGGGGATAAGGCCAACCCATACCTCGCCGTAAGGGGACCTTGGCGTCACAGGCGTAGAAATAAATGAGCCGATACGCATCCAAACTACGATACCCAGAGGCAGGATACGCTTAAATTTTTAAAATAGAGCGGAAACGTAAAGGTATTTTCAGATTTTCTTTAACAGAATGTATCAACAGCATTTGCTTTTTGAGTTTTATCCAGCGCATATTCTCCTCCAGATCTATCATATACAGTGTATTTCCTCTATTTGTACGATTTTGTTGGATTTTTTTCAACACCAACGAGCCCAGGGTTTCCCATAACACCCAGAGGCGTGAAGACAGCCATGCTTGCATAACGGGTCGCGCTTAAAGTAAAAGAGAAACGGAATGAGATTATGAGCCAGAATGTGCCAAGGCAAAATCGACTATTGATAGTTTTTGGGGTGGGGTCAAAAGAGAAATGTAGATTTCTTTGGGCCTACAGCGCCAGATTTGTCATACCCAGGGGTCCCGGAATAAGAAAACAGTACAGTTTCAATGGAAATATCGCGGGAAAGCCGCCAAGATATGCCCACACAGACGCTTCGAAGAGACCCAAGAAACACATACACACATTTACAAACGAAGGGATTCATCTCACGATCGCCCACAAAGAAAGGGATCGGGGAACCACCGGAGAAGACAACAGATCACCATGCGTTTGAAAGGGTGTGAGCCTGAGTTCGACAGGATGGCCGCCAATGGTTCGGATCACAGGGCATTAGGGGGCCCGGGGGTGAAGTCATGATATTTGAGGATGCGTTTGGGGTGGGGCATTGGCATATTTTGAGTTATGGAATTCATGTTTTCTACCGCACCCGAGCAGCAGGCAACCTCCAGTTATCATTTATCCAAAGATTGCTTTCAAAAGGTTGTGATTTACTAGAATAATTGCTATAAAATGAATATAGAAGTTTTTATTCTTCAGATTTCTACCGAAGGTAAGTAAGCCCAGAGTATCCCCAACCCAGGTTTTCGAAAAACATCTTGATTTGGCTCCCTTATTTTTTGTTTTTGCGCTTGAGAGGGTGCAAAAAGAATAATTATGTATTTGTGTTCGTTTATTCATTAGTGTTTAAATAATCCTTTATTTTAATGATTTTGTATTAACATAGATCCTCACAAAGTTAAAATATTGAAAGTTAATTAGCAAAGTCCTAAATGCATCTCGGTGGCAACGGTCGCTTGTGATGAAGTCAAAATTGTAGACTGTCATGCGTTAGTTTGAAAAAAATTCTGCAGCATAATGGTTCTACACATTTCTCCTTCAAACTCCCTTGTTTTGACCATTGCGAAAATAACCAATTATGTTGGTGGAATTCTTGTGTTTGAAACAAACGCAATGGTTTTGCAGACGGGAAATGTAAAGGAAATAAATGGAGCGCATTGCGTTAGTCAGTAGTCCAATTTGTCTTTCCACGAAACCCTGAGTTTTTCTATTTTTTTCAAAAACTTCGTTCTATTTTTGGGTCTCGGATGGACAGCCTCCAAAGAACAAGAGTCGATATTTGGACCACTATGGGAGTAATGAGAGGAGGAAAGTTTCCGAGTGCAACAAAGCTCAAATGTAGAATTTCAGGAGACAGAAAGAGAAATAGCCAAAATTTATCCCAACTACAAGAAGAAACATAATCTAAACTGAAAAAAAAAAATATATATATATATATATATATATATGAATTCCCGAACCAGCGTACCAAAAAAAAAAAAATAAATAAATAATAATAATAATAATAATAATAACTGAAATAATGGAAGCACAAAATACCCCATAAAGCACCCCATACCCCGTAAGGCAACAGAACGTCATTAAAAAGTAATTTCCATACCCATCTCCAACAATAAAAGTTGAAACGAGGCCGAAAACCTTATAATACAAAGGTCGTCGCTAAGAAACTGTTAACGTCCTTAGTGGATTTTTGGAATTCCTTTTGACTACCCCATTGCGGCATTTTTTGATCTCACTTCAGTCCATTTTATTCCGCTCCAGCCAAACCAAAGCCAGTTCTCAGCTAGAGGTGGGTATACTTCGAACCCTGGGAATCCGCTCAAGCGAACAAATATCCACTGGACACGCCAAATTGGGAATTCAAATGTATACTTAAATTGCATACGTTTCATAGGCCAAGAAAAAGCTTGAGAACTCGGATAAAATACGCCGGCGCCATCGCCAGCCATCCAAATCCCGTTCACACGCTGAAAACCCAATTGGCTTTTTCTGGTTTGGCGGCTGGTGCGGAATTCTTTGTGCGGATGGGGTGCGCCGTTGTTGCCGTTGTTCTCGTTAAAAGACGGTGGGAAAGTTTGGACGGCAGGCGGTTTAGTGAGAACAGCTGCTTCAAATGATTTATTTGCCGGGAACGCAAGAAATTCTCTTGTTTTTGCGGGACTTTAAAAAATCATTTCGCAGGAGACTGGGAAATTTACACCGGCGCTCGGCGTTTTCAAGAAGGGCATCCCCCAAACGAGGGCATTACCCCATGCAACCAAGAAATGCCGAGGAACTTTGCGTTTTCACAAGGAACAACCCAAGCGGTTATTCCCTTCCACCAAAATAACCCAGTGGAGAGGAGACATTAAAAACGCGAATTTCCAAAAAATGGCATTTGTGAAGAGACCGTGGGCTATGGCAGGGGTGGGTTGGGATTAAAGAAACCCCCTTGAATTCTCCAACGCGGCTGTTTTTTTTGAAAATGGGCCCACGCAGACCTTTAGAGGAGAAAGGGAAAAATAAGTTTTTTCTTCCTTTTCTAATTCTTTTTTTTTTCTTGGAAAAAGTGGGACTTTCAACTTTCCGTTTGTAAATGACCCAACGTTTTCCCCACCCATCACCTGGAAACAGCGGTGTTGGACAGAGGCTGCTTGAAGCCTGCAGCGAATCCGTAGGATGTGAAAAGGTATTCTTTTAGATATTCAATGCCTTTAAAAGCAAATGCGATTTGTTTTTCACTAACCATAAGAAACGCCCACCACAAGACTCTCACACCGTGCCCCTCCTAAAGCGGTAGAGCTGCAAAAAAATTTTTTCCAATTGTCACATTATAGAATTATTGCGGCTAGTTAAATTCCACGGACAAACGATGCGGGTGAATTAATCAATCCCCAACGTATAGCCACAATATCCTTCCAAGCGGGTGATGGAGCAGAGTAAGTTGCACGTCTTTCGGCTAAAGAATTCTTTGAAAGAATACCCTAGCCTTTCTTTCCTTTCAAGAAATAAATAACGAAAGAGAAAATATTTATTTTCCGTATTTGTCCATGCATGTTCTATGGTTTTAGCAAATATCTCAACCAAACCTTTTCTAGATGATGTTTTCTAATACATAACAGAACTAACGAAATGGAAGTGCTGTGAAACCATTTTAGCCCGCCTCCCGCTCGGGGCCGTGTGGGTTGGGTTGGGTGGGCTTTCGGAAACTTACGGTCAGACAGAACTGTTAAGATAAAAGAAGTTAAGTTTATTTATCATGACCCTATCCAAAATTTTTGCCCCATAAAGTAAGGCTTTGCCATTCTTTCCGCAAGCTTTCAAAAAAATCATTTCTGGAGATGAAGCTTGCTGCGCATTAGCGCCTTCAAACGCCCGCACCCCTTCCCGCAGGGACAGCGCAATACATGGAATATTCTCCTTCAGCGTGGCCAAAGGCAGTCGTACATTTTAACTAAAGTCCCGTTGCCGGGTTTCCCTCTAAACGAAAGGGTCCTGTGGAAAAGTGGCGCCCCCACCCCTTTGGGGGGAGAAATGCTGAGAAATATGGCGGTAAAAAATCCAACAGACATACCAAGAAGCCTCGCCAAGCGTTTGGGTTTTACAGAACCCTTATTTCCCCACTCGCTTCTCTATTTTTTATTTTAGTTCTTCCCTCAGTTTTGCTTGGGCAAGGGGTTTCTTGCAGGCGCGCCGGTTTGTTCTTAGCCGGGGGTGGGTGAAATAGGATCCCCAAAACCCAGCCACACACCCCAACTCGCAATCGCGGGGCCCATTTTCTTATATTACGCTGATTTTTCAAACGTGACCACCGTTCCCTACGAACACCACATGGTGGCTGAGCTTTGGGCGTAATAAGAAACGCCGCTGGCGAGGTGGGGAAAATATGCTTTGTTGGGCGGGCGCCGGCGCGAGCGGCGAGGGCAGCAACCGCAGATGCTGCGTGCTCCAGTGAATTTTTTTTACAATTTTTTTTTTGGGAGGTGAGAGTTTGATATTTGGTTTGAAAGAATAGATAATCATGAAACACTGCCACTTTGTACAAACCAGAGAAAGATACGGAAATATAAGTCGTTAAAAAAGGAATTGGTAATTTCTTTCTATGCTTTGTACTTCTTTTATTGGCGGATTGCTTCTCGCAGAGATGGTTTTGTAGTCAAAGGAGGTCTTTAAAAATAAGACTGTTTTGTAATAGGGAACGCTTTTGTTTGTATAACGTTCAAGCTTGTCCAGAACTCCTCTCGCAAATAAAGAAAATATGACTAGTCTTGAACTGTTGGGATGTTTACAAGAAACATGTGATACAAGTTGTTAAAGATTAGCAATTAAAAATATATATATATATATATATATATATATATATATAACTTTTTTATTTTATCTTCGTTAGTGTACTGAATTGCCTTAAAACTTATTATCTTTATTTATTTACTTGCGGCTTCCTGCTAAATTGTAGAGCTCATTTTTTCTTTTAGTTGGGTTTAGATTCTTGCTACCCTTTGAAAATTTGTTATTCAATGACCTTTCTCTGCCTACAGCAGTGGTTCCATGAAGGAAGGAAAATATGTTTCTCGAAGGTTTTTCCGAAGCAAGTCCCATCATTTAGCGAGCAAATCTCGCTTCGAAATTGCCGGTCGGAGCGCTATGGAAAAGAGTAAATTAACTCTGACAGGGTTTTGTTTACAGTTAAGAACGCCTTCTCACCGTAATAACACTTTTTATTCCTCTCGAAACAAATTCTCTGAGACATCTTTGATGGGGAAAACAAGCCAATTAAGCAGCGAGTGAAAGCTGTTAAAGCTGTAGAGATCCCTATTTTAGAAGTCGTAAAATGAATAGAAAGCAAAACCCGGCACCAATCGAGAGATCTTTTACCTGTCACGCCTCAGCGCGGACTTGGGATTCCCAAAGGATTTATGTCAAGCTGGCTCTTTCAAAGTAAAACTGGCAAAAAAAAAATATTTCCTTTAAAAAATAATTTAAATCTGCATGACAAACATGGTAAGATATAGAAATGGTTATATAAAGACCCCGTAGGGCATCCTCAGAAGGAGTGGTGAAATTAAGTTTGCATTTAAAAACATTGGTTGCTAGCCTCAACTTCGTTATCTTATTTTCCCTTATTTCCCTCATGAACCTGGCCACTAAAATCGCAGAGGTGCAAGAAAATCCCGCCAGGGTGACATCGCTGGGTTTAAACTTATCAATCGGTGTCATTCCCCAGTTGTTTATCGCTATGTTCTTTTTAAATATATAATTCCAAGGTTGGTTATGAAAGTGGTAGAGCGAACCCGTTTGACCTTCCTGAGGCCAATTTGGAGATCAACCGAACGCCCTCTAGAACTTAGAGCGTGGCAGGGGAAGAATCCCAGACCGCATGGAAAAAAGAAAAGCTAAAAAGAGAGAAGGAATATCTACGTTTCTCTTTATGGGTAGGTGATTTTTTTTGTAAGTGTTTGAAAGAGTTTGCCCGCCTTCGTTTGCTAGTTTAATGGTCTTCGGGGCTTGGCGTGCATGGCGCAAGCGCTCTTTTCTTTAAGCGTAGGTGGTCTCTTTGGCGATCTCGTTTTTTTTTTCTTTATTTTTTTGGTCCGGGCGGGTAAAGAAAAGTATTTTTTTTAAGAGGCCGTCACTTTATTGTCAGAATCGCTTCACGTACACGTAAGGAAAGGGCGTAACGCAAGTTTTTAATTTGAAATGAAATTTGTACGAAGGGGAATGGTCTGAAGTTGCTTCAACTGCAAAAAGGAAAAAGGGTACGAAAATGAAATATGAAGACTTTTCCATTCTTTGTTTTCGACACTCATCGTGTTTTAAATTATTACTTGAAAACTTTCACTATTGCAAAGCTGTCGTTAATGCCGATGAAAAGTAATTACCAAAAGCGCTTTTTGTAGAACTCCCGCACTTCTATTTGCAATCAATTCCTCCTCGCGATCTCTGTCGGTTGCATGCTGAGCTTTTTAGGAATAACAGTCGCTAAATCTTATTGCTCGTTAAAATGTCGTTCTTGTAGATGGTTAAAGGGGAATTCGTTGTTCGCCCAACGTGCCCCCCTATTTGATTTATAGCCCGTGCGGTTTGGAGCGCTCAACGTTTCAGCGGAGACCCTTGGCGAGCAATAGGGTTATCATCGATCCAAAAGACCAATTGACAACCGGTGAAGGGGTCAGAAAATTGCGCCAAAAGCATCGCCGGGTCCTGCGCCATGACCTGGGAAGGGGTTTGGAGATTCAGTGGAAATTTCGAAACCTGCAGCTCCCAAAAAATCCTCGAAAGTTCCCCAACAACACCAGGAAGGTATTGATAGTGATGGCATCACCGGCCTTTTTTTTCATTAGTCTTGCCGCTGCCTTTTGTTATTCTAAAATTGTCTTCGGCGTGCCCCCGCCGTCGCGTGGCATTCGGCCTCTTGAGGAAACGATTCCGGGCTCCAGAATTCAATCGCCGGCGCCCAATTTAATTACTAGATAAAGTCTTTGCGTTAGCCCTTCTGCTGGGAAACGCGTCCTTCCTATTTCCATTGGAAATTTGCGCAATGCGCGCACAGCAAAGAACGCCACACTCATTAAGTAAGTGCATTCCGGCTTCTTTAGATCCAAGTTAAGCCGAAGGCAAGCGAATCCATGCCCTAAGGCCCTCTGCTTCGATGGGAAAAAGTGCTCCAAATTGTTTGAAGTTGTAGCCCAAGAACCCAGTCAACGTAGGGCATACTGTGTAGAAATTCCATTTGGCTCCGTGCGATTACCTAGTGGTCACGACCAACTTGGTTAAACATACGTTTAACCAGTCCTGCAGTTGTTGCTTATCGCAGGGTTCCCCTTTGACGGATGGTGGCCCTATTTTCCACGGCCACAGGGCACGTTAGGTATTTTTTCAGGGTTTAACTCGGTTATCTTTTAGTTTTCCCTCATCTCTTTTTCAGCTCTCCTTACCCAAATTCTGTATTTCCTTCCGCTGTTGGTGATGCCTCTTGCTGTCTTTGAATCCTTTTTTTTTTTTTTGTGGATCTCCTGACCGTCCCCTCATCTCTATAATGGCAATTCCCTGAAAGCGGAAGATGGCGTTTTGCCATTGACGTCAGGCGGTTCATTTCTCCGACAAGAGGAAACCCACGCAATTTTCAATTCCACATGGTGGCGCTCTGGGGTGTGTGTGTGCGTTTTGCGCTTGCTATACTCCATCCCTATCTGGTTATTTGTCGTTTTTATTTGACAGGATGTGTGGTCTCCGTTCTTTGCTCGGCTGGCTAAAAACATTTTGCTGGACGGCAACCCTGTGCCCAACCCTATTCTTAGTCTCCAAACGCACTTCTCTCACCGCATGTTTCCTTTTATCCGCTAGCCAAAGGAAAGGGGAACGATTTCCAGCGTCTCTCCATTCCGTTCTTGCTAGCCAACTCGCGGAACTTTCTCATTGAGAAACCCCTTTGTTTCCATGTTGGTGTGTTCAAAATGGTTGCTATGCGACGGTTGCCTGTGCCAAACGCCCTAAGTTATAGATTTTATGCCGCCAGAAATAACAATTCAGAAATTGCCCACAAAAACAAAGAAAAGTGGGGTGCATCGGCGATTCTCTCCGCTTCTTTCTTGAGCCGTTTGCCCCCTCGTGGGGGAAGGCCCGTTGTGACCCCTGTGCGCGGCGGCTTGGCGATTGCGGTCCGCTTCCCCTGAACTGTTGTTGTTTTTTTCTCTTTTTTTTTGGCGGAGGTGGGGGTTGCTTTTGATTAATTTTCATGAACCACAATGCCGCAATGCCAAAACAAACCGCCGCATTCATAACGCCGATCTTTTTCCAAAGGGAGAACGGTCCCGGCGCGCTTCTTCAAATTTTGGGGGTCTCATTGCCGAATGTTTTCCTCCCATTTTTTGCCGTTCCCCAATGGCCTCGCGAATGTCTTGAATCCGCTCCTCAGGATTTCTCTTAGTTGTTTAAATGTTGTAAAATTTCTTGCTCAGATAACGCCCCAAATGGTGATTTACACGCATCCTACCCTTTACCCTTTGGAGGCGTAAATGGGTTCAAGATTGGAAATTGGCCCGCGTGTTTTTGAAAGCGGGGGCGGCTTATCCGGCGGCGGGGTTGGGATTTTGGGGGCATCCGCCGAAAGCGGTGCGGCGGGGGCGTTCTAGGGACACCCGATTTCGCCATCAAAATTGTGAATGAGTTCCCTTGGGAATGCTTCCACCCTCTCGCGAACTTTATCCTGACGGTGGGCATTTCCCGCAAATCACGCCGGGGGCCACGGCAGGGACAATTCTTCCGTACCACCTTTTAAAAACCGAACTGGTAACGATTTGCCGGTTTAGACTTTCCAATTTGGTCTGTGGAATGGGAAAAATTGGGCAGTCTGGCTTTGGAAGGAATCGCTGGATACGCCCCTTGGGCCGGCCATTGGCCAAACCATTTCCAGCACACAAACCCCACACCAGAGCGAAAGCAAACCCCGTATTCGTCCCATTGGGCCTTTAACGTTCTCCTGGTATTTTTTTTTTTGTCTTTTCTTTCTGTGAAGGCTTATGGGGCCGAAATTTTATTTAATTTTCTTTTTTTGTGCCGAGAGACGCCTGCGCTGCCACCCATAACTACGCAAAGGGCGCCTTTTATGAAAACTTTCTAAAACCGTTAGGGGGCGGTGGGGGCGTGTTTCTTGTGAAAGGGAGTGTTTAGAATAAGCCCCGACGCCCGGTTTTGGACCACACCCAATGGCTTTTAGTAGTTGTATGGTGTTTAAGATGTGCATCAATTAAGGGAAGAATATGGGGGAAAATGGTAAGTTTTTTTTTCTTCTGGTAGAAGATGTTGAAGGTGGCACTGTTTTGCGGGGTGGTTTATACGAAACGCAAGTTCCTCAGCACGGAAGAAGTTCTTATGCAGTCTGTGCTTGGCTAAATGGTCGTTGTTTGTAATTCCAAAATGAATAAATCATTTTTCTAGGTTACGAGAACGGTGCCGTTTCCCATACCCCAGAATCCATTGAAGAAAATGGTGCTGGCTTCCCGCGGCGCGTTTCCAAAGTGGCCATAAGCTCACTCTCATTGATTCGGTTTCGAAGAGGTGGGGGGAGGGTAGCGCCAACCGAATTTGCTTTTTTTTTAGGCCTTTCAAAAACGCCTCTCGGGGCCAAAGAATTTTTCATTTTTTCTTTTTTGTCAGCTTGCGAAAAGAATGATCGAGTCTTACTGACTTTTATATCTTGTATGGGATTTAACTATTAGGAATATTTTTACTTCTTTTCTTTCCTAACAGCGTGTCGATAGTAAGTTTCTGAAAAGCCCACCCAACCCAACCCTCTCCGTCCCGAGCGGGAGGCGGGATAAAAGGGCTTCTCAGCTCTTCCTTTTCGTCAGTTTTAGGATTCTTTAATAAATAATAATAAATAACTATCTGGTAAAATACAATTTGTTTCTGTTTATATTTTATATGATACGGGGTTACTAGTAGTAGAGGTAAAATGCACTTTCTTTGTTTCTTCTTTTCTCCTTCATAGGTGAAGTAAGGCTAAGGTTATTCTTGTTCTTTTTTTCTTGTGGGTGTGGTGGTTTGCGCTCGGCTTTCGGTTGGCGCCATTCTTCCGGTATCAACCCCGCCCCTCCCAAGGGCGCCGGCGAAAAAAAAAAAAAAAAAATAACCCACCCTCGCCCTAAAAGGGGTGGCGTTTTACGGGGGGCGTCCGCCACCGGGGAAAATAAAAAAAAACCTGCTTGGCCTTCGTCGTGGGGCGGGTGGTCCGGTGTTTTCCCTCCGTTTGTTCTTCGTCGCCGGGTTAGTTCCGGAGGGCGGTTCGGGGGTGGGCCTCGCGTCCGCCGCCCATTGGGGAAAACCTCCCGGAGTTCAAAACCGGAAAAGACCCGCCGAAGGCCCAAAAGAAGGGACCACCAGATTCACGCGAAAGGTCGCGGGCGGGGGTTTCTTTCCGCGTTGGTTGGGCTGAAATGGGTTGCGGTCCGGCGGTTCTTCGTGGGTTCCTGGCGCGGGCCTCCGGGCGACAAAAGGGACTCCTCGCGGCAAAGGCGGACCGGGCCGTGGGGAAGGTCGGTGGTTTATTTGGGTCGTGCCCGGTGTTTGGGACCCGCGGCCTGCTTCGGCGGACGTCCCCTTGCTGGGTTTTAATGGGTGACGGATGGCGCCGAAAATCTTTTTCTTTTTTTGGTGGGATCGAGGTGGGGTTGTAGGTCGTGTGGACCGGTTCGATTTGGCCAGACGGAGCGTATGCTACTGTAGCCATTGGTGGTGAAGTGGGGTTTATTTTTCTGATCCTTGGTAAAGGCGTTTGGTTAATTCTGCCTTTCCAGATAACGTGGTCCGTTTGTATTGGAGAACGGGTGATTGTTGACGTGTTCGTATTTTTTTTTTTTTTTACTGAAAGAATATCGAAATTGTTTTTCAAGCGTGTTGTCTTTTCTTTTTTTTTCATTATTAGATTTGGCTTCACTGACAATTAACATATTTTGGTTTCGAATCACGATCGTATGTTTTTCTTTTTTGTTTTTATTTCTTTTGGAGTTTACCGAAAAAAAAAATTAATATTTCTTTTTTTTTTCTTTATTTACATTTTTCCTGCATTTTATTTGTTTATTTAAGATTAGCTTCTCCAACAACGGAAACGCACATACATATAAATATATAAACACATACACGCATGCACAAAGGAAAAGAAATAACACAAATGGGGTATCCTTCTGCTGGAGATGAACAACATTTTGATGTTGTAAGTGCATACTCAGGATCATTATTTGCCAAAACTTTTGATTTTAATGCACTGTGGAGCAGAGTAAGTTCTGTTTGTAATAATATCCTCGCATGGGATGAGTCCCCGGATTTTAAAGGACAAAAAGCAATTCAGGAGGTGGTTCGTGCATATACCATTGTATACAGATTGGTTTCTGCTCCTTGTAATGAATGTCCAAAGTTAGTTCGTGGATCAACTAACCAAGAGGATGTGGTTGGAAATGGACTTGAAGGTACACAAGCGCTCGTCGTTTATTATCTTCTTCGTGACATGATACGCTCTTGGTTATCAAAAACGGTTTTACATCGTCTTAAGGCTTCTATTAACACTGATCCATCGGGCTTATTGAAAACCTATCTTAAAGAATGGAAAACATTTATTGTTGCAGTAAATAATCTTAGAGTGGTGTTTTCTTACCTTCATGGACCCTGGCAAAAATATGGTGCACCTCCTGAACATCCACTTTTACCAACTGAGGTTCTTGCCTTGATTCAGTGGAATGAAGTAATAATGGTTCCTGTAATTACAGATCCTATGGGAAAAGAAGTTTTAAATCTTATTGCACAGGATCGAAAAAATCCATTAGATGGAACGAATTGTGTTCTCTTACGAGAACTTTCAGAAGCATTGGGAACTTTAAGTGATCCACGAGCCAATTTTTATGTTACAACGATAGAAGAACCATATATTCATTTATTACAGACTTTTTGCCAAGATAATAAACCCCAGAAAACTAAATGTGATGTTTTAGAATATATTAACTGGTGTTTAAACCTTTTTCGAGAAGAAGCAGGACGAGCAGAACAAATTTTAAATAAATCATCTATACCTTTGATAAAACAAAGAATGGCAGATGTACTCATTGATAAAAATATTGACTATTTGGTAGGACCGTTAAGTTTATGGATGGTCAATAATAATGGATCTGGATTACTTGTTATGTATGAGTTGATGTCGAAGAGTACTACTGGATTAACTAAATTTACAGATACAATTATAGATACTGTTTTTCGTAAAGGAATGGATGAAGTGGATAAAATGTGTGAAGAATCTGTTCGAAAAGGTGAAAGTATTTATAGGGCTGTTCTTAAAGGAATAATATCAGTAAATACCTATTTTGAACCTGCTAGAGCTCCTTTTAAAGAGCTTAAAGTTCTTGACAAACCTATGTCTAGTGGATTAGAAAAGGTTTTGGAAAATACTCGACATATTAAGAGTAGAACTGCATTGGGAGAAGAATTAGCACGGCTTGCACATATGGAATTAAAATCTCATGGAACAAGTGAAGATTTTAACCGAGCTATTCGTGAAATTGTTTTATTATTTGAACTTCTTCCATCAAAGGCTTCTTTTTTGGAGTCTTACCCTAAATATCTTACTGAAAGGCTTTTATCTGAAACTTATTGTGAAACTTTTGAACGTTTAACCATTGAGAAAATATCAGAATCAAAAGGTTGTACCAATGATTTTCTACATAAATGCGAAATTATGTTAAGCGATGTAGTGGAGAATAGTAAATCTTTATTAGATGAGTTTAATTTAACTCGTTCTGATGGTTTTACTAAGGATTCATGGGTATTTAATCCAAGAGTTCTTACATGTTATATGTGGACGGCCATTTCAGCAGATACATCAATACCGATTCCATCATGTTTGTCAATTAGAATAATGGAATATCAGAAATTTTTTTCTCGAGTTCGTCCAAAACGTCATCTTACTTTTGTTTCACGTTTTTCACGGGGTGTAGTAAAGATGAACTTACCTCGTGGATCAGGAATACAAAGTCTTGAATTACATGTTGGACAGTTACAATTACTTTTAACAGAGTATTTTAATCAGGTAGATGAATGGAACGTTGAAGAACTTTTCAAGATTATATCCTTACCCCAAAATGATGCTCTTTTCTCTGCCATAAATGCTTTTGTTAGGCATGGTATTTTTGAGATTTTTAATGGAGAAGAAAAAGTTGATTTACCTTTAGATAAGGTATTACCAAATTATATTATTCGTTTGGTACCTTTACCAGCTGCTAAAAAAAGAAAGTTATTACTATATCCGTATGAATGGGGTGGTACTTTACAAAATACAATGGCAAATTCTTCAGAATTTTCTAATGACCATGTGGATGCTTCTTATGTGGCAGATCAAGTAAAAACCCCTGCTATACAAGCTACACTTATTCGAGTTTTCAAATCTTCTGGAACTCTTTCATTCGCTCAACTTTTGGAAAAAGTCAAAGATGAATCTCTTCCTCATTTTACACCTACTGTTCAGCAAGTAAAGGTGTCTTTGGAGTTCCTTATCAATCGTGGATTTATAAGCAGAAGTGATACAAACGGAAATGATTTTTCATATGTTTCTTGATTCTGTGCTTGAAGATTCCCAGTTGTTTGTATGTTTTTTTTCTTTGATTGGTGTTTAGTTCTATTTTGTTTTCAGGATTTTGAGAAATAATCGTCTGAGTTTGGTGATTCATAATCTCAGATTTTGCAGAAATGTCATTATCAAGGGTTTTTTTTTTTTTTTTTTTGGTTGATATTGCTCTGAGAGATGGGAGAGTTTGTAACGACAAGTTACGGTAAATGGGACCACTAGATAATTCGGAGACAACAGAAAAAAAAAAAAAGCTCTTCTGAACTTTATTTTTTGCTTTCTGAAAGGAAAGAAAAATTCCGGATGCACACTCCATAAATCAGAAAGAAAAAAAAAAATACGATTTAGTGGACGTCCGATACGTAGTACAAATTCAAAGTTAATGCTTTTATTTTTGTTTTCTTCTTACAACCGGAGAAAGACGAAATTCATGATCCGTGAATGTGCCAGATTTATTATCTTTTATATATATATATATTGTTATGCCTGTATCTTTCTTTGGCAGGTGCTCTTTTATTATTACTATTAGCAGTATTTATTATTATTGGACAATTTCCTTTCGAACTGTGTAATGATCGCTATTATATGGAAATACCTAAATAATGAAAAAAAAAAATATTTTTTTACTTCTTCTTTTTTCCCACGTTTCCAGAATTATAGTGAAGGCTTAGTGATAGGTAATCCCACTTAAAGTTTTTCTTTCATTAGAAAATGATTTTTTCTTGTTTTTTGTGATGTGTAAATTATGGCAGACGAAACAACAGCATTGAGGTATTACCTTTGTTCAAGGTAAACTCTCTCTATATCTGGAAGAAAATGGTGATGATTTTATTGAATTATGGATTCTATTTTGGTATTTCTGTGATATTGTGCCGATACCGTCCCTTCAAAAAAAAAAAAAAAAAAGGATATTCTCCCTAAAGAAGAAAAATACTCCTTACTCAAGTTATGTTTGTTCTGCACAGTCTCTTGGGAAACAACATGTGGATAACTTGCAAGATGGGGTCATTGCAACCTTTTCTACGGAGGGGAAACTATTTCTGGACTCGCCTACTGAAAAGAGAAGAAAGTAAAGGTTTATGGTAAGGATAGTAGGATTTTTTGAATCACCCGGACTATGAATGTATAATTAAGATTTTCTATCTGGTAATAATGAACGAAATAAGTTTAAACATAAGTCCCTCTTGCATTTACATAGTGGTGTGTTTGGGTTTCGTATGAAAATATAACAAATAAATTACGGTTAATGTTTATTTTTCTTATAATTGGGGTTTAACTCTCATCTAAAATGTTTTCTCTATCTTTCTTTGGATACGTTTTTTTTTTTTTTTTTTTTTTTTACTTGACATCCATAAATGAATAAATCTATTGGTTTCTCTCTTGGTCTTCCTGCTATATGCGTTGAAACAAGGGGAGTGGTTGCTTGAGGGGTTTTGTGTGGGATACAGAAGGAGAATCATGTGGTGCTCGTAGTTGTTTTTCCCTCCACAACCTTCTGATACAAAAGAGATGCGACTTTAAGGACTTGTCAACATATTTACATGGGGTGTTTTTTTTTTTTTTTCTTTTTCGCTGTCATTGAATTAAAGTTCTTCTTTTACGGATTTCATTCATTTTTTATCGATTCTTTCTATTTCCAGTTGGTTTCTGTTATTTCTAGTGTTAAAGAGCGCCTTTTGACTTTTTTTTTTTCTTTTTCACTATCTTAAATACTTAAAGAGGAAACAATTTTCATCAGGGTGTAGCATCGTAATAGACGAAAGAAAGGTATGACACAATTACCTTCTGCGACGATCAAACTCGTGGAGATGCCAAAAGATATGGAGAACTACGCTATTCATTGTGCCCAGGATGGCTTCTCTAAGCTTTACACAGAAAAGGAAGTTGCCTCTCATATCAAAAAAGAGTTTGATAAAAAGTATGGACAGACATGGAACTGTTTTGTTGGACGGAATTTTGGCAGTTATGTCACACATGAGACAAATCACTATATCTACTTTTATATGGGACAAATGGGAGTACTGCTGTTCAAGTCATCATAACAAAATTTATCCGTTTTCCAGTATGACTGAATCTCTTTCTATTACAAGATACGTGTGTGTGTGTGCGTGTGCGTCTGGGTCAGTGTGTGTACGTTTGTCTGGGGAAGGTTAGGTGTTTCAGATTCCGCTTTATTTATCTACCTATGCCTATTTCTCCTTTTATCATCTCTTCCTTAAAGTGCTTGAGATGGAGAGGAGGGGGAGGTTGTGTGTGGCGAAATGTATATGTTAGATTTTTTTTTTCTTGTTTGCAAAAGAAATAAATAAAAATATGAAAAAATAAAAATAAAATGTGGTACATTTTTTCTTTGATTTTTGTTATTTTTTGGGATCCTTTGCCCCGTCAACGAGAAAACCTGCTGCTTTGCTCTTTTTTGCTTTTCTTCTTTTTTGCTTTTCTTCTTTTGTGAAATCTAGTTTTCCTAGATCTTACTTCCTTATGAATAGCTTTTCTAAATGTTTTAGGAAATAGATGGTACTAGCTCAATAGTAAAATAAAAAAAAAAAGAATGATATTTTAAAGTTTCACTGGAAATACATTCTGGACAAGCTTATAGTATCTGGAGACAAGTGAGCTTATAAATGTCTTGTCAATTCAAGGAAAATAAAAGTGTTCTGGACATTTTTTTTTTTGGTATGTTGCCTCGCTGATTTGAATCGCGGAACTGGAATCTTTCTTTAAACTATTGGTATTAATTCTATAGACTGTCATTTTCTTCTTATTTTTTTTTTTTTTTCTGTCCATAAATATATATATTAAAAAAAGAAACATGTGTATTCTTTTTGTTTATTTTTATACGGATACCTATTGTTTATTATTACTACTACCTTGCAGTTTGAAAACTCAAGAATTAGTTCTCTGTCTCGTTAATTCTCTTTGTGTGGGTATGCGTGTATCTTTTGTTTCTTGAGATAAACAAACTGCTTGGAGGTTTGACTTTTGTACTTGTGTGCTAATTTTTTTTTTTTTATATTGAAGTGAAGAGGTATAATTGGGGGTGGTAGTACACAACTATTCGTGATGAATAATTCCCACCGGGAAATACAAAAGGCAATAATAGAGTGGTTTGAAAAACATCAACGACAAGACTTGCCTTGGCGGCAACCATTTCTTTCTAAAGTAGGTTCCACAACAACTGTTGGAGTTCCCGTTTGGGTACCAGATCCATACCATGTGTGGGTTTCTGAGGTAATGTCGCAGCAGACACAGATGGACACCGTTATTCGTTACTTTAAACGATGGATAGATATATTCCCCAACGTGGCAACTTTAGCAGAAGCAAATGAGGAATCAGTTAAAGCAGTTTGGTCAGGTATGGGGTATTACCGACGTGCAATGTACTTGAAAAAAGGTGCAGAGTATGTCTTAAAACAATTTGGTGGAAATCTTCCCTGTACGGCGAGTCAACTTATGAAAGTACCAGGAATTGGACCTTATACTGCTGCTGCTATCGCATCTATTTGTTTCGGTGAAGAAGTTATATCAGTTGATGGAAATGTTGTCCGAGTATTAAGTCGATTGCGTTGTGAAAGAGATTTTGATCCTAAAGTACCAAAAAATATTAAAACTGTAATACAGTGGGGACAGGAATTAATGAATGATGGTCCTTGTAATAACCCAGGAGCTCTTAATCAAGGACTGATGGAAATAGGAGCAAGAGTCTGCAAACCATCTGGACGACCACTTTGTGAACAATGTCCAGTACAACAATTTTGTAAAGCCTATGCGGCTAAAGAACGTGGTGAACTAGAAGTTATTGAAGGTATAATACCGTTAAGAGCGTTATCGGTAAAAAAGAAAAAAGAAAAGGTTATTTGTGTGGTACACGAATTTCTTGATAAAAATAAAGATATACCAAGTTTACGACATTTTATTGTGGTACAGCGACCCAACGATGGTCTCTTGGGTGGAATGTTAGAGTTTCCTTCTATAACATATAGTTCGTCATTTGAAAATGATACTAAAAAAGAGGTGGAAAATACTAATGGTGATTCTTACAATAACAATGGGGATGATTATAACGATAAGAAAATTATTAAATTACGTGAAAAGTTGAGTGCAGGTCATTCTGCCATTATTCCTATAGGTTCTGTTCGACACATATTTTCTCATATCGACATGGAGGTGATGATTTATCATGCACTTTGGAGTGAATCAAAGGAAGAGGATGAGAAGATTATCCGAGGTGCAAAAAAAGAGGAAACTAGTAGTTTTAGAATGGAGCAACTAGTATGTGCTTCATTAGCAAAAGAGCTTGGTATTGTGCCGTCACGTATTTGTGTGAAAACAGAAGAAGAGATAATAGGGTCTGCAGCTAGTCGACTCTTGTTAAAGATTCTTTACAAATTGCCACTGAATACAAATCAAGGGAATTCTAAAGTAATGACAGTTAAAAAACGCCCAAGGACAACCGTTTGAGAGACACATTAATTTTTTTTTTTTTTCTTTATTCTTGTACCTTAAGAAAAACACTTCCCACAGTCCCCTGATATACATATATACATATATATGCTAAGAAATGTGTGTGTTTTTTATTTTATTTTTGAGCTAGTGTACACTTTTTTTTTCATGGAAAAATGAAGTGAAAAAAAAAAGAAAAAAATATATATTATTTTTGCTCGCGTGTATCTGATTTTTATTCTTTTCTTTTGATAATTCAAAAAAAAAAATTCATTTTCTTTAAAAAAAATATATATATATATTCTTAAGCAGTATTTCCTGTATGCAGGGGTGGTACCAATTTGGATATGATGGTTTTCCATCTGGTGAGGTACGTAGACGGTTCTATCGCCAACGTGATGACCCTTGTGACAGTGAAGAGGAACAAGAGGTGTATAATGACAATGACCGACCTGTTTACTACTATCCAATGCATGAAAGTGAAGAAGCTTCTTCTGCAGAGGATGAGATGGAGGATGAATTAATGTCAATACCACCACCGCCATCTACTCCTTTTCCTTTACGTATGTCAGTTTGGGAAAATTATTTGGGTCACTGTGGTAGCACCATTGTGCCTTTAAAAGGAGATTTTGATATTACTGAAGAGAATGATGCTTACTTCTTATTACATGGAGGTGCATTGACAGTAGATGGACAAGTTATAAATTCCTCTGATGTATTGCATGTGGAAGCAAGTGTGAGTCTTTTTTCAGGAAATCAGACAATTTCTGTTGTATCTTCTGATGCTTCACTTGCTAAAGCTATTTCTTTGACAGGTGGGAATCCTTTTGCTTCAGATGAAGTACATACTACATTAGATATTCCAGCATCACCACCTCGTCGTTTTGGACATTGTGCAGTAACGATTCCAAGTTTTAATGCACTTGATATGCTTATACCTGAATACCATACAAAATGTCAATTACATTTATCTTTAATTATTGGTGGTGCTTTTTGTGATCGAGTTCCAAAAACAGTTCATGATGTTCACATAAGAGGTTCAGTAATGTGTGAACCTTGGTTATCTGTAACCGTACTTAAAAATTGTAAAGAATCTTCATCCTTGATAACTCATTCTGAAATATCTTCCATACCACCAGTTACTTCATCTACAACACATTGGACATCACATTACCCTCTTCCAGGATTAACACCTTTTACTGTAGTGCCTCGGGTTTTTGCTACTTTAACTCCTTGGCCAATTATAAAAAAAGATTCTGAAATTGTATCATATGCATATTTAGGTGGAAGTATGAACGGCTGGGATCCATTACCGTTATTTGGACTCTGGTTAATTCATGTAGACACTAAACAATGGAGACTTTCTTCTTCACTTCTTGAGACTTTTGGAGAAGAACCGCCATCTCGATTTGGTCATTCTGCAGTTCTTGTAAATTCACAAGAAATCTACGTCTTTGGAGGAATAGGAGTACGTCGAACCTATTTAAATGATCTTATGGTATTAAACTGTTCGACAAGAGTTTGGAGAGAAGTTTTTGTTCCTTCTGTGTTTACAATGCCACCACGTGCCTTTCACAGCTGTGTGTTATTACCACAATCTGAAACACTTCTTTTCATTGGAGGTGAAGCTGGTGGTCGACATGAACCTACTGTCTGGAAGTATAATGTTGAACGTGGGGTTTGGCGTCTGGTAACATTTCCAATGCTGGATGGTTCTCTTAATTTATTAACAACGAGAAAAATTGACACATCTACGAGTCGTTTCCTTAGTGCTGTTCATCTTTTATGTGAGCGGGAAAGATTAGATGCTGAAGGACGAGATGCCACCACTAGTAGTATGGATTCACAAGACAAGAATAGACGAGGCCGTAATCACACCAACAGTGGTGGGAACAATACATGGTCATTACCAACCTCAATGACGTCTAATTTAGGAAATGACTTTGTTCCTGTTCCTCCTTGTTCGTCTTCTTTTTTTTCTTCATCTTCCTCTTCTTCGGTTAAAGTTCATCATGAGAATACTACTGTTACGCCTCTCAGTAAGTACTACATTGCTGCTATGCATGGATCTCTTTTACAAGTATTGCCTATGCGAAGTGGTGTGGTGATATTCGGGGGAACAAAATCTCCTGCAGTGACACCATTCAGTTGGATTGCAGCGCGAGATTACTCTTTGAAGGAAATTGCAGCTATGTGGATCTGCACGCATCGATCGCGTCCCTTCTTAGATGGGAAATTGGGTCAATCACTTTATACGGATGCGAGTACATTGCATGAGCAAGAGGAACAAGTTGCAAACAATACAACAAGGGAACGTGCTAATTTGGTAAAACGTTCCATTGCGGAGTATCAACTTGATCAATGGCAGCGTTACGCCCGCAAGCGTCTTCGTGATCAGTAATAAATATCCATCTTTATGGGTAGTGTATAAATTTATTTGTAACTGATTATTTGTAGTAATAGTAGTTGATAAGAGTTTTTTTTTTTCTCTTTGTGTGTGTGTGTGTTATTATTATTATTATTATTTTTTTTTTTTGACAGTCTTTTCCTTTTTTTTTTCTTTCTTGTTTCATTCTTCTATGAAATTTCTTATTACGCGGGGGTACCTACACCAAAGGTCTGAGAAGAAAGAGAAGAACAAGAACTGAAACCAAAACGAAAACGAAAAAGAATTTATAAATATAAATAAATAAATATGCCAAAACTATTTCACTTACTAAGTATTAAGAATCTCCGATCCACTATTTATGATTGGATAGTTACATCTATGACAATAGTATGGTATCGTGAGGTATTTCTGCAGTGTCCGGTGGAATCGACTATACTAGATGTTGGTGTTGGTACTGGTACAAGTCTAATTGCTAATCGTGATATTATTCAAAGCAAACAACTTCTCGTAACTGGAGTTGACTATGATGTGGATTATGTTCAGAGAGCAAATGCAAATGTAAGTAAATATAGACTTAATAATCAGGTTAAGATTGTACATTCTAGCATTTTGGATTTTAAGGAGTCACCATTTGATGTGATTTACTTTTCTGGTAGCTTTATGATTATGCCTAACAAAGTGGATGTGTTGAAGCATTGCTGCAGTTTACTTCGTCGTTCTAAAACTAATGGTGTTTCTTCAGGTGAAGAAAAAGAAAATGTTGCTGTCTTTTTTTTCACACAAACCTTTGAAAAACCAACATTACTGGGTTTGTATATAACACCAATTTTAAAACGGTTAATGAAAATAGTAACTACAATTGATTTTGGAGAGGTTACGTATGAAAAAGATTTTTTATTAACCTTAAAGGAGGCGGGAGTGAAAGTAGTTTCACTGCGAACATTAGAAGAATCATATTTCCGTAAGCAGGTGATAGTCATTGCTAGGCCAGAAGACTAAAATGGATCATTCTTAAGAGAGAGAGAGAGAGAGAGAGAGAGAGAGAGAGAGAGAGAGAGAGAGAGAAAAAAAAAAGAAAGGATAAATCTACACCTTGCTTTGCTGTAGGGAAGGAAGAATAGTAAGAAGAGAAAAGAAACTTTTGGTATTTTATTAACGTTTTATGTATTTGCAACTCGTTGTGTTTAAAATTACAATAGTCAAAAAGAGTTTCAACTCTCAGATTTCATTGTTATTATTGAAAACAAGGAAGTACTAAGAGTCTCTTTTAATGATAATAACACTTTAAATGGTTTATCTGTTGTGTAGACGTTTTTTTTTTTTTTTGTGATATTTGTTATTAATCTTTTTTATTGTTGTCGTTATTTCTATTTATTGTAACTATGGGTTTGTTTTCCTTCAAGACATCATCTTGTGCACTTCATGTACTACCTTTTTTTTCCCCTCTTCACGCATAAATGTATACAAATACACATATTTACATCAAAATTAACCTTCTCTATTCTTGCTGTATTTGTTGTCCCTATGCGTAATATGAACGTATTCAAATATTCCTGATTGCAGCCTCAAGAAGGAATAAAAAAAAAAAACAAAGATATATTATTATTATTATTATTATTATTATT